TTTCTTAGCATTCATTTTGAGACAAAATAGAAAAAGAAAAGATACATAATTTTTTCGAAAAAAAGTAAGGCTATAGGCTTAGAAAAAAAGCAATTTTATTGCGGGGAATTTAGAAGCTAAAACAATCTCAAATATTTTGGATTGCAGACCTAAAGAGTCCTAACGAGGATCTATCATTCTTTGCATTCATTTTGAAGGCAAAATAGAAAAGAAAAAGATGCAAAATTTTTTCGAAAAAAAGTAAGGCTATAGGCTTAGAAAAAAAGGCAATTTTATGGAGGGGAATTTAGGAGCTAATACAATCTGAAATAGGTTGGATTGTGGACATAAAGAGTCTTAATGAGGATCTATCAATTTTAGCATTCATTTTGAAGGCAAAATAGAAAAGGAAGAGATACATAATGTTTTCGAAAATAGGAAGGCTATAGGCTTAGAAAAAATGCAATTTTTGGAGGGGAGTTTAGGTGCTAAAACAATCTGAAATAGGTTGGATTGCGGACATAAACAGTCCTAATGAGGATCTAGCATTCTTAGCATTCATTTTGAAGGCAAAATAGAAAAGGAAAAGATACATAATTTTTTCGAAAAAAGGGAAGGCTATAGGCTTAGAAAAAATGCCATTTTTGCAGGGGAGTTTAGGAGCTATAAAAATCTGAAATAGGTTGGATTGCAGACCTAAAGAGTCTTAATGAGGATCTATCAATTTTAGCATTCATTTTGAAGGCAAAAAAGGAAAGGAAAAGATACCTTTTTTTGAAAAAATGGAAGGCTATAGGCTTAGAAAAAATGCAATTTAATGAAGGGGAGTTTAGGAGATATAGCAATCTGAAATAGATTCGATTGAAGGGGTAAAGAGTCCTAATTAGGATCTATCATTCTTAGCTTTCATTTTGAAGGCCAAAAATGAAAGGAAAAGATACTTAATTTTTTCGAAAAAAAGGAAGGCTATAGGCTCAGAGAAAATGCAATTTTATGGAGGGGAGTTTAGAAGCTAAAATAATCTGAAATTTGTTGGATTGGAGACCTAAACAGCCATTAAGAGGATCTAGCATTGTTAGCATTCATTTTGAAGGCAAAAATGGAAAGGAAAAGATAGACAATTTTCTTGAAAAATGGAAGGGCTTATAGGCTTAGACAAAAATGCGATTGTTGGGGAAAGTCACCAAAAGATTTTTGAAATAGATTTTTTTGAACATCTGATGACTCCTAATTAGCATCTAAAATTGATTTTGGAGGAAAATGAAAGAAAAAGGTATTCAATTGTTTCGCAATAATGTAAGGCTACATATAGGCTTGGAAAAAAATGTATTTTTGGGAAAACTTTTTTATCAAAATGCTCTGGAAATAGATTGGTTTGGACACCTGATGACTCCTAGGGAGGATGTATCAATCTTAGCATTCATTTTGAAGGCAAACAATGAAAGAATGAAATTGTTAACTTTTTCGCAAAAAAGGCTTTAGGCTCAATTCATCATGGCCTTTGAAAACAAGACCTGACGTGTAACAATCATTTTACTAGAAAGTAAATGAAAGTTGTAAGAAAACCCACCAGTGAAGTCGGCAAAAAAAGAAAAATTACAGTACCAATACCGATCTTGGATCTTTAATTATTTTGAGGATCTCTCTGTATGAAAACTTGCGCATAAGACCTAGTGTCTTGTCCTCCATAACCAAGAGCTTCCACACACAGAGAACACCTGCCAAAAACACAAAGCTTTCATGAGAACAATGTCATAGCTTTCTTAAGTAGCTTATGCCCCAGATCATCCACTATTGCGCAGTCGAGGAAGTGCACAGAGCTAAACATAACATAGATAGACATAACAACATAACTATCAATCATGTCACAAAGTGCAAAGTTATTTTTGTGCACAGAGAATAATGGCTATTAAAAAGAGCAAGAATAAACCCGAAAAGATCATAACTTTTCATCAACGACTGGAAGTCAACTGCAGAAGTCGAAATGTATTATTATGAAAGTAATATGTAAATAGTTAAGTACTCATCGCACATGCGTTCATCTGAACATTACTATCAAAGTCTGATAAATGTTCTCCAAATAGACAAAAACACTTGGAAACTAAATAAATCTCTGATGACAAATTTGAATATAAAGGCTCCAATAGACCAAACGTTCCATAGCTCTATCAAATGCTCCAGGAAGAAAGAGGTAATAGCAACAAGGACCGAGATACCGGGGGACCTTGCCCCACCCCCTAAGAAAATCTAAGTATTGTAAGTAAAATACTTTCAATGTGTACAATATGGCTGTTTTTTGTTAATTAATCAAGTCTGCCCCCCCCCAAACAAAAAGTTTTATCTCGGTCCCCCCAAACAAAAAGTTGTATCTTGGTCTTTGATGCTACCCCCAATCTTAAGGTATAAAGGGCAAGGGAAATGCGCGGGTACCAGTTTATAAGGCAATTTGCAATCATTAGCTTAGTCCCTTTGGCAACGTTTTAGAATTTCTTAATTATGTATAAGGTTGGCAGAGTAGCCAATCTTGTCTGGCTAATTCCAATATACAACTTGTACCAGTTTGGCCCGGTCTAAAATGCCTTCACTTGATCAAAACTGCACATTGATCAAAATATGAGAGACATTTTTAAAAATGATGTCTGAAACTGCCAAATAAGTGCCGTCATTACATTACTCAGGAATAACAAACAGCTACCTCCACAGTATTAGGAAAAAACGAGGAAACCTGTGAAAAACACAGCCAAATAGCAGAACCTCGTCGAGTTTCTCTAGATTGAGATGACCTGTGAAATCATTAAAATAGGGAGATTTAACATCCACGTTTGGTTGCTCAGCAATAGGCGTGCATCTTTTGAGAAGACATTCCCAATCACTGTTTAAGAATAAGTAAAAAAAATGTAGCTCGAGAGGAAGAACTGAGAATAATCTCACCAGCTTCAGCGTTAAATTTAGCAAAAGAACCGAATGCCACCAGGTAGAGTGCCAATTCAGTCGTTTGCATCGCTAGGAAAAACATTGCTTTCCACAGTCCAACATTAGGCTGTCCTATAATATTGTTTGGATGAAACCATGCCAACATAGAGTTCATATTCCCCAGGCGAATGCACACTTGCACGCTTATTGCTTTGGCCGTATAAAAGACACAACCGTGCTTACTCGAGCAATGTTACAATAGACACAAACTCCACAGTCGTGCAATCTGTGCCGAAAAAAACAAAGCCCAAGAGGCACCTAAAAAGCGTACCCTGTCACATATAAAACGTGATTACATTTCATTCAATTTCTGTTAATTAGGCTCTATCGGCTTAGAAAAAAATTGCTTTTTGGAGAAGACTTTCTCAGTAAATAATTACTTAAATAGATTGGTTTGGACTTCTAGATTGGAAAACTTTTGACAAAGTAACGATAGGATATTGAAAAAAATAATTTTTGAGAAGGGTTGGTTGCAATTCAAAGGAAAGATCTAAAAACTTGTAAATACCCTTCGGTGTAGAAACTACCCTTGTTGAAAAGGGCAAGATCTTTAGCTACCCTGGATACTAGAGACAAATAAATTCGAGAGCGGAAATATGTAGAAGGTTGAGAAACGGAGGAGCGTTCATTTGAGAAGAAGAATTTTTTTGTCTACCAATATTGTTACTATTATTTCATTTTTAACATTTTTAATTACAGGTCCACATCATCCAACTTAAGGATGCAATTTTATTAACCTATCGTTGCATAGAAAATCTATGTGCATGCTTTGGTGTATAAAACAATCGGTTTTAAGTTGCAACTCAGAGTTTCAGGTTTGATGTGACCACCAGACAAATTCAGTTTAGTTTATGACACGTCATCAAGCAATTTATGATAGACCGGCAAAACAAAAATTTTCACGCTTACAGATTTATCAATGTAGCCAATATGTATTGAACATATGCCTAAAAGGGGAACATTTCGAATAACAACTTTTCTTGAATCGGATAAATAACCCCAATTTCTAGAAGGATACTGCAAATCCAAGCAGCCCCGTAATCTTGAGAATTATTAAATATAGTAATTCCTTCTTCGTTCCAATTTGCTGACAGAGTTGGTGGACTATCCTTTATTTTCCGACAAATATGAAAATTTGGTGACGCAACAACCCTACAATTCTCCACAAAAATTGTGAGACTGCTTTTCCTTCCCACCTCGTAAAAATGCCTAAGTCTGTTTGGCGTATTTACCCAAAAGAAAACCTATCGAAATTATTTTGTAAACCATTCGTAATTCTGACTTAGGCTCCAGACAGATCTATTCGTTGCTCAACCCTTCCACCGCCCCCTTCCCTCCCCCACCCCCTAAGCAATGTTGTTTGTTGAGATTTGGTGAAATAGTTGAAATCGTGTGTGCAAAGATCGTATATTGTAACAGGATCTTAACAACATTGCTTGAAGGGGGAGGGGTTAAATACAATTCTAGTAGATTACTGACAATAAATTTGTCCTGATTTAATCTCTGGTCTCAATATATTTTGTAAAGGATTTGTACGATATACAAGAGTCTCTATCATTCAAAGCAGAAAAAAACATATTAAAATGTCATTTCCCGTTAAAATTTTAGCGCTAAAAGCTTTAAATAGGTGACAATTTATCAATAAAGCTTCCTTTGAGAGCATTGATGACAGGTTACGGTTCCTTCAGATAGCTAAATGTATTGGTTATGATTTTATGTCTTTGAATTTGCGTAAAAATGTAATAAATCAAAGTTCTATGAAATAGTGTAGGATTCAGGAACATCGGATCCCTGTGGCAATAGGGGCATGTTTCCCAACGTTTTGGGAAGTCCCCTTCACTTAAAGACCCCTTTGTCAGATCAGACCCTCCTTTTTCGTTTTAGATACTCTTTTTTCATTATCTTGAAATATTTTCACCAATATGGCAGCAAGCATAGTAAGGTGAGTTTCATAAAAAATCAAAAAAGTTGTGCAGACTTACCATGGAGACGGGACTCACTGAAATGCGAAGGAGCCTCGCAGCTATAGTAACATCACACATGAAGGAAATCAGAGAACCGCAAGTTGTTGTTCTTGGGCACGCCACTACATCCATATAGACGGGGATCCTGTTTCAAAAATGGGGAATACATGATTACGCAGAATATCCATGATAAAACAAAACAATAAGCAGGTAGGTTTGGATTACATATATCTCAGTTTCAGTGATTCTTAATCAATCACCACAACGATTCGTAAGTTTCAATCGCTCGCTATTCTGCTTCGGCATTCCTCAACCTCAATCTGTGCCTAGTTAATCAAGGCAGACTTTGTCAATCAACCCCTGAAATAGTAAAGAATTCAGTCATATTTGACGATGACAAAGGCAGACAGGGGGTAATTTTGGCTCTTAAATGTCTTGAGCCCTAGATACTCAGCCTCTCAAGGAATTGTTTATGACAATAGTTGCAACATCTCTTTTCGATCCTCATCGCAAGAAACATTAGGCCCATAAAATAATTGAGTTTAGCTCGGTTTTTATTATAAAAGTCAACAATTTACAATATCCATTATACAAACATATCAAAGAAAAATTGTAACAAGTAACAATGACAAAAAAGTAGAATATAAATTTAGTTGCTTCTATATTTAAGGTTTTGGGCAGATTTTCTAGCCTGTCAATTTGACATGCAGTGATATGTTATTTCCCAGGCAACACATCTTAAAAATGATTACGTGCACCACTGGCCAAATCTATGCATTTCTTAAATAATAACTTTTGATTATACTGAGGCCTATCTTCAGCCAAGATGATGCAGTAACATGCAAATTCAAGATTTGGCCAAGATGATGCAGTAATATTTTTTCTAAAATGGCCCTGCACACCTTGTACAGGGTGTGGCATTTTGAGATATGGGCGTGACATGGGTTTGTCCTGCTGATTTATTAAAATGAAGAATGATGTTTCCTCAAAGATAGACATAATATTGCATTAGTTTGATAGATAGACATAACAACATAACTATCAATCATGTCACAAAGTGCAAAGTATTTTTTATGCACAGGGAATTATTCTCTGCCATTTGCCCTTGTGTGTGAACAAATACATTGCAAAGTAGCAGGTTAAATGCTGCAGGATTTTATTTTTAAATAGAATTTGAAGCCTTGAGGCTGTGTGTGGGATTTGCTCAAAAGTCCATGCTGTAACTTTATGGAATAATCTAAATTTTCAAAAATGTGTGGACGGAATTTCAGGATAAAATTATTGCACAGGGTACACATTCCCCATGGCATACTTTGCAGTCTGGATTATGTCCATTTTCTTATCGTTGTTGATATCCTTGGGCACTAGCATAGCTGTAGAAGCTATATGCACAATTTAAGTGCACGCTTATAACAAAGTGTACACTCAAAACTCTTGAAATTTTGCCATATTGCACACCTTAGATCTAGTTGGAAACTGCCATACTTTGCTGTCTGGGAACCTTGTTAGCTTTTTACATACCAGCATGCTCCTAGTAGTTATTGCTAACATTGGATTCAGGATCTTGCTGATTTTTTAACTGAATGTCTGGTAAAATCTTGTTTTTTTTAAATCAATTGATGAGCATATTAAGCAATTATGATAATTGCACCAAGGTTAAACAAGGGGGTTTGAATTAATTCAATATTATTTTAGGTGATCTTCCAAAAACCTTAAATTGCGGACATCAGAATATCAAACTTTTCAGTTAAGCATCATCTGTGTAGCCAGCTTTTTTCAAAACAAAGAATCATGAATAATTTACTTACCATAATTTCTAAGGAGCTTAGAAGTTCATTATATACAATAACATTTCTTTCATGCACAGACTCGAAATCTTTTGATCAGCCAGATGTGAGATTCTGTTGACATTCTCATGCTTTTCTTTGTTCTTTTGAAATTTTTGCAGCTTTTCTTTCAATATAGGTAAAGATGATTATAGAATAACTAATTTTTGAAAGTGTGTCTTGAGATAAAGACAAATAGTCTCAGGAAAGCTAAGAAGGGTTTAGGAAAAGCAGAGGTGTAAGCATTAAGTTTGATTCTCTTGTTTTTTATGGCTAAACTATTTTTATCATATCATACTGTATTTTAACATGATGTACTGTATATCATACTGTATTTTGACAAAGCATTGGTCTTCAGGGAACTATTTCTCTAAAAGAATAAGCTACTAAGAACAAATAATATCTTTTGAGTACTTTTGTTTATTTTGTATGGCAGATAAATTTATAATAGAAACTACTTAAAGATACAAAAGACAGGCCTTTTCGAAGGAAATACACACAAGTTACCCAGCCCTTGCATGATTTTTCCTGTGAAGTGATCACTCTAAAAACGATAATAATAATAAACAATGCTAAAAGCGATCATAAAGGTTTTATAAAAATCGTATGATCCTGTTATAAGGTACTTTTGTGAAAGGTACACTTTTGTGTAAGGTACTTTTGTGTAAACAGGAAGCCGATTGTTATGATGATCTTTAATGCACTCCAAGAAAGATTGAAGACTGAATAATGTGCTTTATTTATAAATTTCATGTACACAAAGGTCATATAGGCGTTATTGCTAGATGATTGCAAAATGCTGTCCCAAACTTTATTCAAAAGGCTTCATCTGCCCAGAAAATGTTCCCAGTTCAATTACTAAGTGCCCATAGTATATATTCCTAAGCATTCACAGTGGACAGATTTTAGAATGCATTTTCGTTGAGATGTGGTTAATTCAGCTTTCTTATGTTTATTGTGTTTTGATATACCAGCTTGCGTCAAACAAAAAGACCTGAAAAGAAATCATTTTTTAGTCTCATGTTTTCTTACTTCAGAATGAATGAACATGAAATTCAATACCATTTGGCAGCAGTTCAAGGCAGCTTGCCACTTATCCAAAATTTTGTTGCTGGTGGGTCCAAAATCAATATAGAATGTAAAGACGAGGTGAGAATTGATAGGCAACTTTTGCTCAAGATAAAATTTGCATTTTGTTTTTATCTCTTCAACAGATAATGCTAGAATGATAGAGTAATCAGTTAATTGCATCTGTGAGAGATACTTTGTCTAATAAAAAGAGAAGTTCAAGTCCTTGTTGTTTTTATTATCACATTTAATAATGAAAATGTTATTTACACATACCATTGCCTCTGTATCCATTGTCACATAACCAACAAAACCCTCAAAGCATCGCCTCTTATTCTGTGCATAAGTCTAGTTTTGATCTTTGTCAGTAAATGCATCTAGACACAACAGCTATGCAGCAAAATCTATGACTGGGTCTTGGTCTTTGACATTTAAAACAGGATCTAAAAATGACTGCACTTAACATCTCATAGCATAACACAAACGTCACATACTAAAAAGTTTTTACAGCCTCAAAAGGTCAGATAATGGTATATAGCCATACTTCTTATTGCAAGAACAATTTCTTTTCAAGTTTGTGCAGCTAGCTCTTACTCAGATATACAAGCAAAATGTCAAATACTTAACTTTGCTTGCTTCAATTTGAAGTTCTTGGCATTGTGAGAACACTAAAATATTTTTGAACAATGAGAAGTCTTATAAAGTTTTTGTATGATTCAAATTTATGTTGTACTGTTAAAATTTTAAATTAATTAACTTGTGATGTTTTTGTCAAAAGAATGTTTTTTCTTTTTGAAGGAAGGCACAACAGCATTGATACTGGCTGCTGCAAACAACCACTTAGAAATCGTAAAAGAATTACTTTCCAAGGGAGCTGATCCTAATGCAAGGAGGAAGGTAAATGATCAAAACAAATTAAATTTCAACAAATAACTTAAACTTATCATTGGTTTTTATTATCTTATCATTGTATTTCGATTTTATGAGACATCATAAGCTTGCTGGTGTTATGACATCACTAATAATGGGCTGCAACAAATTAGCCACTAAGTAATTTGTCAACTGATTTTGAACTTGTTGTTAAAGTCTGTAAATATGAAATTCCATAATCATGAAAAATGTTGGGGTTACTCCTTTGCTTTGTGATGGCTTTCTGTAGGCACCCTGTTTTAAAATCAGAAGTGTTGATTAATCAATTTGGATTCTATTCACAGACAGCTTCTCCTACTGTTTTGTATAATTTAAACCAAGAGCTTGATCAAAATTAGTATTTATAAGTTACTGGTGTTAGTAGCCATATTCATTATGATTATAATGGTATAAAATCTCTTCCAGACAGGCACAACAGCACTATTTTTTGCTGCCCAAGGTGGTCATCTTTCAGTTGTCAAAGAACTCATCAACAGCGGTGCACAAGTTGACCTAGCTAGTACAGTTAGTACACACATCTTCAGATTGAATTATTTGAACTTTGTTAATTAATGTATATACATATGCCATAAAATCTACTGATAGCTGAGTGAGCACAACAATGTAGCTTGTGAAAGATTGGACACTGGAAAAAATGATACAATTCTGCAAAATAGTATTTGTGACTTTCACCAACAATACCATTTCTTAGTTTCATTTCTACCATTGCACCTTTGCACATAAAACCTTTGATTCTTTGTAGTATCAATTACAAATGGGTCATGAATTTGTTCTTCCGTTACATGAATTGCTTATGGAAATCCTTGAAAACCTTTTAATGTTGGATATCACCTTTTGTTAACACTAATGATGCAATTGAATGGGCAACATGAATTGCAGCATTTTCCAAGAGTCTTTCATTTTTGTAATTTATTGAAAAAATTTTGTTACAGGAAGGTGGAACTCCTTTGTTTGTTGCCTGTCAATGTAATCATCTCAATGTGGCAAAAGAGCTTGTCTTACGAGGAGCTATTGTCCATGCAACCATGAAGGTATGCCTTAATTAGTAACAGTTGCCGGATGACAGCATTGTATGTGAAACTTAAAGTTGTGACTTGAGCGCTGCCTTTTTCAGCATCCAACACTAGACAAAGCTGTAAAAAAGCTCTTGTGTACCTTTCAATCTGCCTCTGGATTTAAATTGTCTGCTTACCCTTGGCATTATCCTATGTTTATAAGATTGAGGAGTGTAAGATTAAAAGTTTGTTAGCATGATAAGTTTTTGTCCTTCTGTGCTATTGTCAAACTGTATGATAGGTTGATACACGGTAAAAATGTTACATAAAAAAAGTTGTATCAGCTCCTCCTAAACATCAATTTCCATGTATATTTGAAAAGAACTATTATAATTTCCTTATAATACCATGGCCTTACCTTCCTTCGAATATTATTATAACTTTATTTGAAATTTTATTTTGTCAAAGTGGAATTAAAAAAAAATTTAAAAAACCTGTTAAAAGATTCTATGGTTGAACAAAGGCATCATTTCTCAGTTAACTAGTAGTTGTATTTTTTTAGGATGGTGCAACACCCCTGTTTGTCGCATCACAAAATGGTCACACAAATGTTGTAAAGTTTCTCATCAGCAAAGGTGCTCATGTCAATCAAACTAGGATTGTAAGTCATTTTTTTGCAAAATCTGTCAGATTCATTCAATATTTAGCATAGCTACACAACATAGAAGATACAGTTGACTCCTGATGACCGGGACTTTTAAGGAGAAAAGTAAAAAGTTGGTCTGATGTGGCAAACATTCGATTTCTCTGGGGGTATCCCTTAACAGGATTCAACTGTAACTCCTACCAATGTATGGTCGAACATCAATCAATGTGTTACTTGGAAAAAATAGTTTATTGTAAAAAATTCACAGAATTTTCTTTTAGCCTGGTAGAAGATATTAAAAACTGAACAATATGTTAAAATCAAACATGCCCTGAATCCCGAGTTTAGAGTTGAAAAAAGAACCTCACAAATATATCTTGCTCAAGAGAATAATTGTTTGCCTCAAGATTCAGTCTAAAGAGAGCTTAGTTGTTAGGTTCTTATAGAGCTACTTAATATTCACATGTGCCTTATCCCTGAATGAAAGTATTGATTTAACCAATAACGTCCAGTGACATGAGATTTTGTACAGTTTTTGCTATTGAGAAATAAAAAATTTGGTCAAAAATTTTCTAGGATCAAGCTAGTCCTTTGTGGATAGCAGCACAAGAAGGCCATGTTGCTGTTGTGAAAGAGCTTCTTGTTTCTGGAGCAAATGTCGATCTTCCAAGACAGGTTTGGATCTTGTAACTAATGCTAATTCCTGATGATAATTGGAATAAGTGGGATTGAATAAGTTGCATTTTTATCCTAGTTGTGAGCAGCTAAGAGTTAGAATTAGTATATCTCTATTTGACCATAAACAGATGCTCAATTTTTGAGGGATCAGACATTAGAGAAAAACTCCAATTTTTCAAACTGCCACTTCTTCAAAGTTGGGTATTTCACTACATGAACATGAAAAATTAATATGCATCGTGAGAACATGGGCAGGTGAGTTATTGAGATTGAGCACAATGGCCTGATAACATAAATTATCTTGCTAGGAGCAAAATAAGAGCTTTTTTACTTCCAATAACAGTCAATCAGGTAACCATTTTCAAAGAAATGAAAGAAAAATACAAAAAATTTGTTTCTTGTTGAAAAGTAAATATTTTTTTAAGGAAAATCATTAGCTTTTTCTAGCCTTTTCTTGTCCTCTTGCTTGATATATCTGTGTGATACTGAAAGAGTTGTTCAAGTGAAGATGCTTATGAAAGCACTCTGGGGCTTTTTTCCTGTCGCAAATTTTGTATAGAGGCTTGAAAATGAGTTTGGAACCAAAATGTGATATAGCCCACATTCTACAACATTAAAATTTATTTATCTAAACTTAAGCCTAGGACACACTGCAGATTTTATGAACATACCTGTGATATGGGCATAACTGCTATTTTTGAGCTGAAAAATTATGCTATTTGCAGCATGGGCTGTACAGGAACTTGTGCTAAAAGTTTAAAATGCACGGCAACCAAAGATTCTTTCCAAAACAAAAATCTCAGGTATATCTAATAAAGATCTTATGTTTAAAATGCTAGACTTTAGAGTTAACAATGTCTCCATTGTCTATCCACAACCTTACATGTCCATCTCTTCAAACAGGATGGTGGAACGCCATTATTTAAAGCATGTCACAAAGGGCATATTGATGTTGCAGCAGAGTTAATAGTTCATGGAGCTTCTTTGGATTTACTGAAAGTATGTAACTTATTGCAATAGTTTGATATTTTGATTGTAAAAGATAATAAAGCAATTTGACTGGCTTTCATTTTCACAATCTTATGTGACAAACAGCACTTGATAAAGACTTGTCTTCAGCATTATGGTAAATTCTGCTCAATTTTGATGAGAACAAATTAAAACAAGCCCAAAAAAACAAAGGGCTTCATATCTAGAATTGATAATCCTATGGTTTCAGTATCTTGCCAATCTGCAAATTTTTACTATGTTCAGCAAAAAATTCAAAATGTTATTTGTAAGAATATTCTTTTAGAGTAAGAATTAGTTCATTTATGCAAAAACCATGAAAAAAAGTTTATTTTGCAAAATTTTTACAAAGTTTTGCCAATTTCTACAGAGTTGTAACCCATTCTGGTTTTTTTCCAGTTTATTTCAGTCATAATGTACAAAGATGAACTGTTTTCCATTTTAGAATGGGGAGACTGCCTTACATGCATGTGCTCTGTTTGGACACTTTAACATTTTAAAGAAACTTATAGAATCTGGAGCTGATCCACATCTGAAGAACAAGGTAAATATTCCCTTTTAAAATTTTATTCTTTTGGAAACCTAGGCAAAGATTAGAAGCCATATGTTGCCCATGCAGCCTTAAAGAAACCAAAACACTTATAACCGTTGGTGGACACTTGGCAAAATATTTGGGGGGGGGGGTAAGCCTATGGCCATGGAAATATTTTAAGCTCTCCCATAGCTACACAGTGCTGCTGTGCAACACTCAAATCTCCAACATTTTTCTTGCAAAAACTTGGCAACTATGGTCAATTGAAACATTTTCCCTTCCCTTTAAAAGTTTATATGATACAATATTGATTGTTTTTTACAGATAGAAATTTATTAATCTGTTTTTATATTTGCATATATTCAGGGGAAAACTTCAATTCTACTGCTTGTAAATATTGTTTGATAATTGCAAGATGCATAACTTAGGCAATTTTCTTTTCTAGGATGGGCTTACTCCACATGGCATGGCAAAAGAGGCAGGGAAAGAAGACATTGCTTCATATTTAGCAACAGCCAAAAAATCTTATTCAACAACAGTTTGAAGAAAACTTGTATTTAGTAGATCTTTTTAAGAGAAACATTCATAGTATCTAAATAGTTCACTACTATAAAAATAACATGTTTAATCTAGTAAGGCAACTTTGGGCTGGGTTTGGGTTGGTGGATATTCTGACCTTAATAAATACATACTATCATAAGGTCTGTACCATTATATATATTATTATCATTACCCCTAGCCAGCTTACCAGCTAAGCAAATACCACATTAAGTTTAGATTACCCAAACATTCACAGATTGTTCCTTGAAATCCCATGGATTGGAATAGACTTTCAAAGATGAACATGCTCTACTTATGAGATTAAACATTGTGCTATGGACACTCATTAGCTCCCTCAAGAATGGGACTAAAATACAAAGCATTTTGCTTAAACTTTATAGTTAAATGATGCTTATTCATAGCATCATAATTTGAAAAGACTATTTTAACGAACCTTTGTTTACCTCTTATTTATGATTCTTTTTGAAATAAAACATTCATAAGCAATTTTATAGCTTTTTATTGCTTTCTTATCTTCTTAGAGGCGAGAATAGAAATACTGAAAGTATAGGAGAAATACTGACTAAGATTTATGGAGAAAATGTGTTGATGGTTGGAATATATTAGTCACCTAAGATCTCGGGAAAGAACTACTATGGCCAATTAGAAAGCAAACTGAATGAGTTACTTACATGGGCTTTTAGCTTTTATGCACTGTGGTAATATCATTATTGGAGGGGAATTGAACCTGGACAGATCCAAACCTGGTAGTAAAGAGGGTAAACTGCTAGTTGATTGGGGGCAGGTTCATGATATAAGATGCCTTATAAAAGAACCAACAAAGATAACATCAACTTCGGAGACACTAATAGAAGTCTTTCTAACAAATAAGCCAGAGTATCACCAACTAAGTGGGTTATTTGATACTGGAATTAGTGATCACTGCATGATATTTAGTTTGATGACAAAAAAGACCCGAACATGTAAGGTGAACATCATCATTTTTTGAAGGAATCTCAATATCGAGGAGTTAATTAAAGATCTAGAGCAAGCTCCATGGCATGTTGGAGAGATATTCGAATCTGTAGATGATCAATATTTCTACCAGGGGGGGGGGGGTCCAGAGCAAATTTGAAGGAAGGGCAGTCAGTAGTGGGGGCGCTGAAAAATTTTCAAAAATTTGGACAAGCTGTATACAGCAATTTCAGAACCATTTTCAGAATAAACAACATAACTTTTGAGGTAATTCTGGAAGCAAATTAACCTATCGATCTCAGAAACTTTTTCACCTCATTCTCATTCTCCAAAAGGGGTGCACAATTTCCAAAAAAGGGCACCAGACTTGCTTCAATTCGTCAAGGGAGGGGCAACTGCCCCCAGTTAAATCTGTTGAAAATGGAACCAAAGAGGACCGCTTGCCCTGGAAAAGAATGCGGGTAAGGGGAAGGGATGTTGCCTACATGACAACTGAGTGGAAGAAAGCGATAAGGAAAAAGAGAGAATGCGCAAGAGAATTCTCTAAAAATAGGAGTGATGAAAACCTAGCATTGATAAGGAAATGAAGAAATGAAGCTAGTAGACAACGAAGAATTGGGATAAAAAAGCACTAGAACTTAAATCGAATCCGGGTGCTTTCTGCAAAGCCTTCAGGCCATTTTTGTCAGCAAAGAATGTGCAGGGTGAGATACATACAATAAACTTAAACATTGATTGAAAATTAGAAGAGAACCCACAAATAGTGGCAGACACTTTTGTAAATTATTTCAACACGATGTGGGAAAGAATATGAAGGGGAGAGAACAGAGAAGGTAAACGTTAGCAAAGTATCTGAACAAGACTTGGAGAGTAACAGCAGTGTTATTATATAGAGAAAAATGTTAAGGAGACAAGACTGTTTGCTCATAGGCCATTAAAAGAGAATTAAATTCACTTAGCAATGAAAGATATCAACCCAAGAAAGTCAGCAGGATTGGATAAATGACACCAGGGATACTTAATGTTGGAGCAGAAGCCTTTGCAATCTACAACGAGACTCTATAACGAATGCATAAGACAAATGGTATGGCCTCATGACTGGAAAAAGGGACAATGGACACCTGCTTACAAGAAAGATAGTAGACACATAGATCGGAACTACAGGCCAATAACAACACTGCCTGTAGTTGATAAGGTTTTTGAGAAACTCATCACTGGTCAAACAGAAGAGGGAATCCAACCAAAATTAAGTGATAGCTTAACAGCATATAGAAAAGGTCAAAGCATAGAGACTACGTTAGTAAATTTGGTTGAGAAATGGAAGGAGGCGATTGATAGCAATAAGATATCAACAGACATAAGTAAAGTTTTTGACTCATTGCATCCGCCACTCTTATTAAGAAAACTAGAAAAATACGGTTTTTCTAAAGAGGCAATAAACACGATGAAGTCATACTTCGAAAATCGAAGAAATAGAGTGAAGCTTGGCGACACAAAAAGTACATGGAAGAAATCTGAAAGAGGATGCCCACAGTGTTCATTACTCGGCCCACTTCTGTGGAATATCAACCAAAACGATCTAGACATATTGTCAAAAACTGTAGTTTATCAATGTATGCAGATGATCACTAGCTATATGTAGCCAAAGATTCACCAAAAGAGATAGAGAAGGTTATAAATGCAAAGTTGGAAAAGGTATATTCATGGTAATAAGATAACTTTCTACATGCTAACAAAGAAAAATACCAGGCCATGACTGTCACTGGCCAAAAGATTCAAGAAATAACTGTCGGATTTGAAATCAACGACGATGTCATGCAACAGACCAAAGCATTAAAGCTTTTTGGAGTCACAATTGATGATAAACTGACATTCAATGAGCATATAAGAAACACATGTAAGAATGGAAGTCGGATAGAAGGCGTTTTGATAAAACTACAAAACCTAATACCAACGGATGCTAAACTAATGTTGCATAAAACAGCAATTCTACCACACCTAACATATTGCGGATTGCTTTTTCCACTTATGCAGAGTATCACATTGTAGGAAACTTGAAGGAACTCAAGAAAGAGCTTTAAGAGTAGTGTTTCATGATGAACATAGTAGTTACGAATCATTGTTAGAATAATCAAATCTATCCACTTTATACAGCAAACGATTGCAAGGCATTGCTATTCTCCTGTACAAGGTCAAAAACAACTTAGCCCCAAAGCCTTGTTCGAAAGACCAGCCAAACGTTACGAACTGAGGAACGCCGAATTCAATGAACCAAGATGTAGAACTGTGATGTACGGGAAACATTTAATAATATACCTGGGACCTATGATTTGGTCGAAACTGCACTCGTACATTAGAAACAGTTGCAGACACCTGGGGGAGGACAATGGCCTTTCGTTCTAAAACAATGGGAAATGTGACGTCATCTTATTAAAACAATTGGCTTGCCCTGTCCCCAATATTTGATTAAGTGTCCGCCCCTGATTAGAAATAGTTAAAACTTGGGATACTCAAAAGAAACTTAAGAAAATTTTCGGATCTTTGTCAGTCCTGACCAGCACAACGGTAATTGCCACTTCTGTGAACAATAACGTTTGAACTAGGGTACTTTTAATTACATATTTGTAGAATTCTAAACTGGTTCTAAATTTTGAATTGTAAAAGTGATATTCTATTTGCATATCAAGTGTCCCCAATTATGAAGTATGCAAAATTTATTTGACACCGAAATAAAGTAAATGATGATGATGATGATGATGATGATGAGTTATAGAATTTAAGAGAAGTGATGGCTCAGCTTAGAAAGCCCTCTGTCACGAAGACATTTAATCACTGTGTATGACTTCAGAAGAAATTTTTTGGCTTTGCTTCCATCATATATTGACCATTCCATTAAAAGTTTTGAAAGGTCACATGTTAAACAGCTCCAAGATCCTCTACTTACTGATGTTCCTTTTTTCAGAAATTAAACTGGACAAAAACCAAAAGCTTAATATTGAAAGGAAGTAGCAACAATTTAGCACATAATATCATCAAATAGTTAACCTCCTGTAAGGCCATCCTTTTTCTGTAATTGCTTAAAAAATCCACACTTTTCTTAGCATGATTATCTCCATTTATTTTGAAATATTAACAATCTGTTTCATACAAGTATTGCAACTGTTACAAATTAATAACCGTAAAAATGACTTTAAATACAAAATTTCCTTAAAAAGATAAAATTATATTAGACTTCTCACTTAAATTTCTCTTTTCATAGTTACCTACTTATTTTTATGGTATAAAAATCATTTCAAGTACCTTATAAATTTATTGCCTTCCTGCACAAAGGGTAAAACCAGTACCCCTCGGCACACTGTGAACATGTCCGTCCAGTCACATGATTCTTACACTGACATTGCCCACCAATCAGATCACAGGATGGTGTTACTGAACCCTGAAGGCTGCATTCGCACCGACTCGGACCACCATTGTACGACATAACTAGTTGGAACAGCCAATTGAAACAGGACTTCTTTACAGCTGGAATGATGTCATAATTTCTTATGCAATTTTTCTTGTATGTTTCTGAGGATCTTAGATGCCTGTCGTGCAGAATGCTCTCTTGGCTGTAATCACGTGATGGGTGGATAAACATGATGTAATTCTGGAAAAGAATAGGTTTTTGCAAAGCCTCGCACCAGAAAATGCAAAGTTAACTTCGTAAACATGAGTGGGGTATAATGTTTAAGCATAATTAACAATTAGCATAATTAATATAGGAAATGCTGTCAATGTATTTTGAGGTACTTGATTGAAGAATGGATTTGAATCAAGAACATATTTTCTATGGTCTATATCTATGACGATATACAGAACACGATATGGGGTCAATGAAAATCTGACTATATTCAATGTTTTTCACTTCTGATCACATAACCTAAAATAGCACCAACCGTTTTGGTTATGGAAAATGGAAAATGGAAAAAAGATTACTGTTCCTTTGACTTTGTTCATAAAGTTACTAACAGATACAAAATTACAATTGATAAGATGGGGAACGAGTCTATTCTCATATAGTCATATCTCAGCCAATCTAAAACATTTTGTCAATTTTCCATATGCAGCAGAAATCCCATTTCCCATATCCCTGCCCTCATTCAAAGTCTACAGGTTTTTGTCATGTCATCATGTTAGATCTGTATTGATGTTCTCAATTACCTGATGACCTTGATCTCCTATGAACAGTTTCTTTGATATCAAAATTTCTTTGAAAAAAGCAAACATTTTGAAACATACTACTAAAGTTTTCGTCTAACACTCTTCAGTATACGTCGCTAGGAAATGTATATACCCAGTTGTGGATCGAAATAGGCCAATCCGAAACGCGAGCACGTGACCGTTGAGATTGCCCAATCAGTGCCGCTTGCCTTTTGAGAATGTTATCAATGGAGTCATTAGGTGAAAACGAACTCCGCCGGTCTACTCAAAAGCAGCTTTTTCGTCTTTATGTAGATAGATTCCAAAGCTGCTAGATGAGACGACGACCGGGCTCTACCAATAGTCCGAAACGTTTTTGCGCAATCTGGGTTTTCTAGAAAAAGCTGCCCGATAGTTAGATTGCATGTTTGGGATGGCTGAATTCGCCCTTGAAACAGATGAAAGACGTTTTCAATTGACTATACTTACAATCCAGACGTTAAATCCCTTAGGAAATCTTATGGTAGCACTGATGACACTCCCACTCAAGTAGAGGCCTGCAAATCGGTCTGAGGACGCGTCTTCGGATGTGACAGCCGCGCGGCATCCTTCGACATGCGGACAAAACTTCAGTTCGATTTTACCGGCGATTGATGCGTAAAATGTGTTCATGATAACTTTAACGGTTGTGGATGGGTGAAACGGCTGGAAGTAATGCACTACCGCAAAGAAATAGCCACGTTCAAGCGGAACATTCCACCGGATGAGCTTCTAAAACAGGATAAATGTGTGTTAATGCATTGTTAGGCCAAAATGCTATGAAAAATGTAAAAGGATTACATTTGCAAGCATTAAAGCAGAAGAGGAAAGCTGAGGCTTGTAAGGAAACATCAGCCCAATAAACATTCTATATTCATGTAACTTCGCCTTAAAACATTGGTCTTGTAGTACCTTTTGATAAATATATTGAATCATTTCTGGAGACGTTTTGCATCGATTGGAAACTGTCTTATAATAGAGGAATCTTCATGCTTCACCAAAATGTGAAGCATGAAGATTCCTCTATTATAAGACAAGCTAAACGTCAAAAAATCGCTAATTAATTGACTTATAAAACCGGGACATAGATAATCAAAATCGAACTCTTAGAATATGAAAAATAACTTTTCAAATGAGTTAATAGCTTCCTTTAGGTAAAAGAGCCATAATTTTGGGTGTATTAATATATGTAGATCTTCTTTATCAGTAACTAGAGGCAGCGCAATGTGGAGGGATCAAGAGGAGCCTGTCAACGCACTTTTCAGTCTCCTTCATTCTTCATTACATTTGATCTTTTTGCTATATGAACCCTATAAACGACTATGACTACTAAATGACCGATTCTTAACTGAAAAGTTCAAACGTATTTGAAAGAGACAAGAAAATGACACACATCTAAGAGGACACTAGCAGTGCATTATTACTTGACGCTTCTTGGTAAAAATGTAACATTCTTTCCGACATGCGGGAAGATAAGATTCTTTGTGAAGTGATCTACCATAGGGAGCTAGGAGTGCAAAGGACGTACATAGTTTAAAATAATATTTCTTAAGACACTTGTCAGACTAGCATATAAGCTTACATTAAATTTATTATCCGATTTTTGCAAAACTCCTAGAATGTTGTATCATATACTATAGTTGAGGACTTAAATAGCTAACTATTCAAGCTTTAGGCATAACCCTTGGTCTTTATACTTTACACATACACTATACATTTTACGCTAAATACTATATAATATACACTTTACACTATGCACTATGAACTATACACTATAAATATGAACACCCTGCGTAATGTAGTGATAGATATGCAATCTACGAACCGTAGCAGCGTCTTCTTCCGACTGCAAATACAGCGGCCTTAGTAGTGGGTTCAGCATATTCGGCGGCAAATGCCTTGGTGTGAGGTACTGTCTTGATCGGATTGTATGCAGTTTAATATGGCCTTTAGTGTGAACTGGGCTCGTCCTGGTACACTTACGATCAACAGCAACACAAAAAGGCGTTGGCGAGATGAACTCAAAGGACCAAAGTCGTTGCGGAATTAGAACGACGCGATCCTGCATACAAAAAATTATTTGAAATTATCAATAGTTATTAATAAATATTAATAATTAATTAATGATCAATTTCCTGCTGAAAATTAGCAACATTATGAAAATTAGTAATTAATAGAACCAGCTAAAAGATGCCTTGTAATATCAAATACCTTTCCTACTTACCAAGGCTACGAAACCACTATCTGATGTTGAGAAAGAAACTGTGTACGTTGCATCCTTCTTCATCTTGAAAATCTGAATGGCTGAATTGCTTTCCAAAAGGACATGTCTGCAGGCAAACTCGTACGGACAATACGCAAGGGGAACTTTAGCAACCTGCGTTCCATTCGGTCCGTTTATGTGAATGAGAAGGTCGAGATTGACAGGATCAGGTTTGAAGTATTGTACGAGTATGAAGAAGGAATCAGTTGACGGTTGTTTGAATGATAATGTGAAAGGCTAAAAGTGAAAAAAAGGAATTGTTATAAGCAATAGATTAATGAACTAAGATCAAGCTATAACGGCAAATGAGTTAAGACGGTATAGCGGTATGTGATGAAGGTTAAACGATCATTGAAGACGGAGTAACGGTCAGTGATGATGGTATAATGGTCAGTTATGACAGTATAACGGTCAATGATGACAATATAACGGTCAGTGATGACGGTATAACGGTCGATGATGACGGTATAACGGTCAATGATGACAATATAACGATCAATGAAGACGGTATAACTGTCAGTGATGACGGGATAACAATTGGTGATGACGGAATAACAATTGGTGATGACGGAATAACGGTCAATGACGACAGTAAACGGTCAGTGACGACAGTAAACGGTCAGTGACCACGGGGTAACGGTCAGTGATGACGGTATAATGGTCAGTTATGACAGTATAACGGTCAATGATGACAATATAACGGTCGGTGATGACAGTATGACGGTCGATGATGACGGTATAACGGTCAGTGATTACGTGGGTAACGGCCACTTTGTCATTAGTGAGCAATGTGTAATAATCTATCTGATGCGTATGTTTATTTATGCAAGACGGGCAGATGTTTGTCTCATCAAAAAGATAAATTTTTATACTTCTAAGTAATTTATCAGATCATTAATTAAGTCGTGCATTTGTTGCTTCATCTTGAGGCTAGCAAAAAGAGCAGGCAAACCTTGTTATTTCGAAGCAAGATGGCACCATTGATATTCAACGAAGGATACAACGATCGATCAAGCATTTCTGCATCTTGTCTCCCTGTGCTTTCGACCTCTATCGTATAAAAATCTCTCCTTGGAATGCTGAGATAAGAATATTTTACGCAAGGCTCCGAGTTTCCAAACACTGTGCAGGGCAATCTAGCAACTGTGACAAGCTTGTCTCCTTTTAAGTAGCTTTGTGGAATCAATGATACATAATCCTAGGGAGATACAAATGTAATGGTACATATCATATGCTACTCTATATAACTGCGTGTATAAAAAGAACATATTTGTTCCAAAAACAGTCTATAAGAGATCTGGAGATGTGAGAAGACTGGAACCCAATGAGTCACGCGATAGAATAGGAAGAAACGCAAAAGGAAGTGACATTCGTAGAAAATGACGAGGGACGATTCACTCTTGCAAATAGCGTACGAGATTTGGTCTAAAACAAAAGAATTTCTGGGGATTTTCAGATAAAACAATAGGATTTTCACAAAAGGTGTACGATATTTTCTTAGAGAGATTTTCCCCTCGGAAAATGAGATCAGAACAAGAAGAAGTTATTGATAAAACTTTCGTAAAATACAGGTAATGGAATTCAAGGAAAACCGTATATACATAGAGTGTCTGTTTAGCATAACCATAATAGCTTATATTGCTGTATTCAGGTCGCTTCCTCTCACAGATATGAAAAGTTAACTGAGATTTAAGACGATAGGGATTTAGAAAATCAACAGGAACAGTTTAAAAAATTGCCAGGAAAAGTAGGGAGTGGCATTTGCAACTTGCTGTGTGAATAAAATATAGCAGTACTCACCACATACAAATCAGTGGTATTTGTGAAAAGTTGAACATTGTACGATGAAGTGTACAGCTTTAACAGCAAGTCCTTGCCGTTTTGTCTTAGTATAAAAAGACCAGAATTAGAATTTATGTCGTTTGATGATGTTTTCTTGAGAGTAGTTGAGGTGCTGAACACTGTGTAGTCATCTAGAAGAGAAATAGAAAAGACATTGTAACGGTGTACAGGGTATACCGAAAATCCTCGAATTTGCACCCCTCCTTTGAACTCCTCCCTCGAATAAGCCCCCACTGCAAACGTAAATTCTTGAATTGGAACTACACATTGTCAATAAGCCCCCCTCTCGAGTAAGCCCCCATTGCTAGCGTAAATTCTCGAATTGGACCCCTCCATTTGATGATTGTTGCCATCTGAGGTTGCCTTTCTGGCGTTTTATTGAATTATCACAACAAAGGCTCTTTGCAAATCAAAGACAGGTTAGAGAATTTAACTTTAACTCTGATCTCAAAGTCATCTGAAGAATTTTTGATCCAGTGTTGTCCGTTTTCTTTGCATAAACCAATTATACAGATGCGGGTCCATTGGGCTCCATAGTGATGACATCACAAAAATTTTATTTCGGACCTCTGGATTTGGATCACAAACGCCAATTGAGCATTTAAAAGTACCACTCAATGTGCAGAATCAGATAAATGTGTTACAAAATGATTTAAATGTGCCCACATGACTACACGCTCGTTCCCCGTAAAATCACTGTAATCAGGTTCCTGTTCATTATTTCATGAACAAAACGAAAATAACAGCAATCTGTTAGCAATTACTACATCTTTCATTGGCCATATCACATCCAATTATTGACAAATGTAGCATATTTCCATATTTCAAAAATATCATTTTATCTGCCCAAAAGTAAAAAAAATTAAAAAAATATATCCTTTATTATGCTACACTTTATAACTCTAGATCATTTATACAATACAAAATTTTAAAAATTTTGTGTAAGATTTACCCCCACCATGGGTGTATGAAAAGCGAAGTGTAAAAGCAAAACTACCCTTTAATGGAATGCATTGCACGATGCTGTTTGTGTGTAAAATTACCATTCGCATGGATTGCAAAAAAGTAATTAAAATATGAATTGTACATTGCATCTCAAGTGTTTTTGTAATAAGTATTAAGTCGGTTATTTACTGAATAGCGAAAAAGAAAGGGCTAGTTTTCTTGTCAGAATGACTTCATTCGTATACAGTATCACTTGAAACCTGTAAATGTAAAGAAAGGAACGAGAACGAAGAGAATTTCTGCAGACTAGTCCATCAGCCTTCTTAATGCAGGTGTCACTTTAATTTGTGTGGAAGATTTCAATTGGGAGCTACCAATTGGGAGCTACCACCTAAAATCTTAAAAGATACCGAAAAAATCTAAAGTAAGGAAAGAAAACTTACAGAATGCATTGGAAATGGAGATATCCAATCTAGCCTCTTTCGTGTTTTTCATGCGGTAGCTCATTATGAAAATGAAGTCTGAGTCTTCCTCAATGTCGACTCTCCACTGAACTGGGGCCTTTCAAAATAAATTGACTTTTTAACATTACTAATCGCTTCAACAAGAATACAGAGAGGTTCTTTGGGATTTGGCCTAGTAAGGAAGCTGGGACAAACGATCGAATTACATGGCATAAAGCAACAAAGTTAAATTCATCATGACTAAAGATCATCAAAGCATTACTTACCTTATGTTGAGCAATGGCCACAAATTCTGATCCGACTTCTGGAAACAGCCTTTTTCCTTTTGCTGTTTTCGCTTGTTTTGCTTTGAACTTCAAATGCCTAACTGACGGCACATAAAATGTGTCATCGAGCAACCTAAACGGGAAATATGAATTTGTTTCAAGAATTGTAAAAAATCAAAAATATGAAATAATTTAAATGAGCTGTTATAGCTAATGAACTGGAATCAAATGAGAAACTTTTCGTTCCAAGCGTAAATCATGTTCATTTCTCTTTTCATATGAAAGATTTGGGTCAATGATAGGAAAAGAATTCTAACCATCTCTGATTTAGAAACAGGGACAGACACTTGCTCAAATTATTTTGGGGGGCCAGCCTATTGTTTTGATAAGATGACGTTATATTTTTCCATTGTTTTCCAAAATATTGTATTCAGACCAATGTATTCGAAAATATTGGGGGGGGGGGGCAAACAAAAAAGCAGAAGAAATACGCAGAGAAGTAAAAGAAGAAAAAGGCAGACCTGTCGCATCTTCTTCCAGTAACATTCGGCCTACATCGGCACTGTCCAGATTTCTTCTCACAGATATTGCTAAGTGACCCTCCAGGGTTACAATCACAAGCTGGAATAGACAAACAAATCATAGTGTATACTACAACTACATATTTCGTGATTATAGCATATCTAAGTTAACTAGAGAGTCTCAACATAATTCTATCTGGACGAAAAATTTAAACAAAAAGGGCTTTAAATTGATAAAAAAATTAAATTTTAAGCGTATATCTCTCAAAACTACAAATTTAAAAAAGCACATTTCATGGGATTAATGTATGTATAATTTTTCGATCAATATTAGGAGTTATTTGTTGTCGTCATGAAAGCAAGATAGAAGCAATCACTGCTCAAAATTAGCAATCACCATTTTGGTTGCAAACCTTTGCTTGTCTATGTTAATTGCTAAACCTAACCAGGTCCAAAGAACAAGCATTTTTAAAAGCCAAACGTGTAGACGTGTTAATAAATTTGTATACGTGTATATGTATCTCTATGAATATCCTTCGAAATGCGGTAGAAATGGCTTGGTAAGATATCTTTAAATGTTTTTATGCAATCAAGAATGAAGGGAACTCTAAACACGTTTTTTTTCAAAGCAGTTCAAGTCGAAGGAAAGCTAAGATTGTTCCTTAAATTTATCGCCAATACCATTACCCTAAAAATGACGTAAAACAGAGGAGATTTTTCACCTGTGCAGCCAAGCAGATTGCTTTTGCTCAACCCGTAGTAGCCATCTTTGCACGAATCGCAGGTTCTGGAACCCGGGTCGATATTAGGCTTACAAGGACACCTCCCTGTATCTTTGTCACAAATCCCAACACCATTTAATGTGCCAATCGTGTGACATTTGCACGGAGAGCAACCAAGAGGTTTTGACATTTGTAAACCATAAAACAAATCTTTGCATTGATTACACAGATCACCCATGACATGCTCTTTGCATGTGCACTGCCCCTGTGGAGTAAAAAGTGCCAATGTATTCTGTAACATGGCAACTTGATTCGAGATACAATAGTAGAATTGTGTTATGCCTGATCATTGAAATAAATGACATTCCTAGTGTGAACTGTTAACAACAACAAATTACAAACTATAATGAAAGATTTACAATATTAATAGTGAAAATGAAATCCTATCTAATTGGAAAAGAAGAAGTTCCAGGGACTAAGATACGAATCTTCTTGGCTGGAGAATCAAATGAAGCAGTCAAGAAGGGTTTAGGCCGCAGAGGGATATATTGGAAAATTTTCATTAAACTGCATTGTGGTAAAAGTTATTTTAGGTTTTTTCAGTTGAATGGGACTTTCTGTCTACGGATTTTATTTTCTTCAATCTCCCGGATCTTGAAAGAAATCTAATTAAAAACGAAGAAAGAATAGGCCAAAGGCGAGAAGAGGGCAAAAATAAACTTTGAGGTAAAAATGATTGGTAGATCAGAAAAATGACGTTACTTGAAAAATGGAAATGTAATTTGTAATTAGTAACTGGAATAAAAAGATAAAATTATCTATGTAAAAGAAAGGAGAAATTGGTAAAATTGCAATGAAGAAGAAGATGTAGAAAATATAGAAATGAGACGCCATTGACAAGATTAGAAGATTGAAAAAGAAACAAATTGAGAAAAAGCTGGTGAAGAAATTGAAGAATTATGTGACCAAGATAACAATGAAAAATTAGATTCAAAGCTTGTAGATCTTACATTGGGTCCTGGATAACATGTATGCCCTCCATCAATACTAGTACTGACACCAGCGGCAAAGCATGAACATCTAATACAGTTGGGAAACTGATGGAAGCCTATTTGGCACTTGTCACATTTGCGCCCGCGAAAATTTCTAAGGCATTGACACTGCCCTGTCCGGGAATGGCAGAAGAGTCCGAGTGAGCCGTAGGTGTTGCAGTTGCACGCTGTGGAGGAGAAGGACAATAGTATTTATCACTGCACTTATGTGAATCTAGAAACAGTTTAAAAGCAATCTGTCTCGTTGTGGATTGGTTAACGAGAACAATAGCTGGAACAATAGCCTAAACACGATTCCAGCGTTCCGCCATATTTTTTACAATGCGATAAATTAAAGGGGGACTGGAAATAATAGAAATCCCTTTGTTCTTATAACCAATCAACGTCGTGACAGATTGCCTTCAACTAGCAAATTGAAAAAGAGACCACGGTGGTATCAAAAGGTATGATGTAAGAATCAGTGTTACAATTTATGACCACGCTGTCGTTCATAGTTCTCAAAACATGAACGTAAAGGAAAGTATCAAAGGCCTCAAGATCTACTGTTGCCATCTGTAATTTCATGCTTTACGCCTCTACTTTTATCTACTTTTCTACGATCTACTTTTATCCAATATCAAGTATCTAAGTAACAACTGGTAGAATTTTGACGATCGAACGGGGCCCTGAAACTAACAGCCTTGAATCTATTATAAGTATATATATGTTGTTTAAAGGATTAGGCTTGCATACCAGTACGTATCAAATGCCTGGACCTTGACTGTTCTAAAACGTAGTACTGGGTTTAATTTCAAATATTGTCATCAAAAATCAAGTATCCAAACAATCTTCAGGAGAATTTTGACGATTTTTATTTGGTATGAGACAAATAGTTACGAATTTTAAGTTTGTAGATATCTGCACATCAGACCGAGGGGCAGGCACAATACTTGGGCTAATGATTTGCAATTAACATGCTATTAAGTGTCATATTTTTTTATAGAAACAGTTTCATTAACAGCGGTTTTAATTTGCTTACGGGCCTATGGGCAATTTCCCCACCCTCCTTTTTCCCCTCTCGGGTGGGCTTACGTATATGTGGTTCTAAGAATTGGCCTATCAATATGAAGTACCAGTAAATATCAAATGCCCGGATCTTAACTGTACTTAAACGTGTCTCCAAAACGCAATTTTTTTATTTCTGATACCATCATCAAACGTCAAGATGTTTTAAGTCTCAATGTACGCTGTACTTACGTTTGCATTCAGGGAAATTGTAGAATAAGGCAGATTGACACCTGCCGCATTTAGAGCCAGCATATCGAGGCTTGCAAACACACTGTCCGTTCTTGTTGCAATCTGGAGACTGCGAACCGACCATGAAGCATCGGCATTCTGCAAAATGAGTGGCATGAACGTAAGACAGTCAAAGAAGTATAGAGGTTGTGGTTGAATTACGGAACCAGCTGCGTTTAACCATTCTAGTGGGTGTAGATTAAAAACAAACTGCAGCTTTACAGCCTCAGCAGTTGACATAAGCTGCTTTTCTAATTGACTGATTAAATGTCATACCCGAAATTTCTCTGCAACTTTCACTGCTATGACATCAATTGATAGTAATACTGTAAACCCTGGAATAAGCCCTCCACCCTGGAATAAGCCCTCTACTCTGGAATAAGCCCCCATCCAAATATGCCAATTTCTGCATTATAATGAGCCCCCTTGGGGGCTTAATCGATATACAGCAGAAAGATACACCATTCTAGCACATGATTGATAACACATTCAATCGGCAAATGAACAAGCTAAGAAAACGAGATATTGACGAAAGATAATGAAATATCAATGTTTTGTACTAAAATATCTTTTTGTGCTTTGATTTGTATTTTGGTATTATACTTTAACTCGAGGATTAACGGTAAGCTCAAGAGTAGTGACAATACAAAGAAAGCTAGCAAAACATACTTCTGCAATATGGGTAATTGTAGAACCCTGCCCGACAAGACTGGCACTGTCTTCCAATGATATTACTACCACATTCACATTGGCCACCAAATTTGTCACACTTCGAGCCTTTTGAGCCACGTGATTTGCAGCGACACGAGGAAGCACCATTGTTTATGCTAGCGGACAGGGCAAACAACATCTTTTTGCAAAACAGTGGTAAGTTTTTTGTCAATGGCAGCGAATTGCTATCGAGGCACGATTTTTGGTACTCCACCGTCATATCAAGATGGGTTGGGTCTAAGGTAAATTTTTTAAAGTCTTTGTCCAGTTGCAGGCTGATTGATCTCTACACGAGAAAGAGAACGCTTACAATATAAGTCATTAAGATTATTGATTATCTTTCAGTTGTAAATTATTCGATATCACGTAGAAAGAGCTGGGAATGTTGTTTGAAAATCACTAAAAACATTAGTTAAAGAGGTGGAACGTAGAACTGTTCTCTTCTACCAGCAAAGGCGTATATTTTTACATGGCAACGAGCACAATGCTAGGGGCCAGTTATTAACAATCTTCATTAGCTATCACGCAGTGTTAATACATAGGCACCGTAGCATAGACTACAGATACATAATCCCTGAAGATCGCATTAAGAAAGAGATTCTGAATAGCAAAGTAAGTGATATTTTTAGTGGCCAATATTCGAATGTAAAACATAAACAGTAGTGTAATACAGATATGTATTGTCTTAAGATCGCATTAGGCATGAGATTTGGGTAGCAAAGTGAGTGTTATCTTCAGTGGCCAATATTCAAACTTGGAAAAACAGATATCTAATCTTGCTTTTGATAAATTCATGTACGATTGTAAAGCAACCGCCAGTTAAATTTAAGAATTTCTTGGAATTTCTTAAACTTACAATGACCAAGTCACGCTTCCTCGGTCTTCTAACGAACGCCTGTATCTTCCCTTTGCTGCCATAGAAAGATTCTTTGACACGACAACCAGTGCTACTGGGACAGTAATCAACCTCGAGGTATCTCAAGATGATGTCATTCTCCATTTTAAGAGTAATCTGTATTCCAAATTTTGTGTACTGGGGTTGCTTATACTGCAAGACTAGAACGAACCACGAAGAAGAAGGAAGAACAGCCGTGAATGCATGTCCCTAAAGTCGGTAAAAGATTAATGGTTGTCATTAGAAAAGCATTTTAAGATAAAAAATATTGTTCCAAATTGATGTTACTCTGCTCATATGCCATGTTTGGCCCTTCGAGCATTATTTTGATGATTTTTACAGATCTCCCCCCCTCCCTCCCCCATCAAAAGCGCGCAGATCAAGCTTGAGTTAAAAAGCGTGCTTAAATATTAAGACAAATCTAAATTTGGCATATCTTGTGGTTAATTCAGTTTATCTTTGCGCTGAACTAAGATCATCATTATAAAAATAATAATCGACAAAATATCAATCCAGCAAAAACAAAGTAAAATCCCTGTAAAAACATTTGTGAAAACCAAATGCATAGAAACCGACACATAAATTTGTGACCCATCCCTTAGCCTTCGTGTTATCATGACACTTCCGTGGTTTTTCAAAGGGTTTTAATGTCCTAAATATCACCATTGCTTCACAGCTATCTCAGATCTTTCTAGCAGTAGTTTGCTTCACCCCTCTAAGGGTCCTTGTGAAGATGCTTTGACGAAGTTGAATATATCTAGCAAAAACAAGCAAATGTGGAGCCTCCTAAACATATGCAGCATTTAGATTAAGCTAATATTGCAGCCTTGTAAACTTTATAGTTGAATTCTTAAAAACTGCAGAATAAGCGCGAGGATATTTTCAATTCACACTATGCAAAGTAGTGGGGCCTAACAAAACGGCGCAAAAGGGTTGCAGAGGCACGCACACTCACATTGTCACTCCTAACCATCGGAATGCTTCCTTGCAAAAGTGGAAGCCTTGGATAGTCAAGGCATTGTCCGTTACTTGCGATGCAGCTAAACTTTGGCTCGATATACTCGTTTGTATACAGCTCATCTGGTATGGCAACAATTTGATGCTAGGAACAAAGGACAGTTTGTTAAAAATGATTCTGCTAAACTAAATGCTACCTACAACTAAGTAAAAAATGATTCATATCAAACCAATATCTTGCCTGCATCACAGACTATATTCTGGAGGCAGCGACGCAGGCTTATCAATATTTGACAGGTTTGTTAATTTTTGCACTCTTGAGCTTTCGCAATGAACCATTTTATGAAAAAAAACTAATGTTTACTTGAGTTCAGGGCAAGCTTTTTTACAAAAGGGGGTCAAAGGGAAGACAGATTCTGGTACAGCGCACCCCTCGCCACGTTCCTATTTGCCTATGTCAACCAATCAGAAGCCCGTATACATATATCTGCAAGGGCAAAAATCAACAGCAAAACTTTGAACATAATAAAATAGAACATACGACAATCATAACTGTTCTAGACTTGATCGATCAAGCTACTTTGATTTCAATCTGCACATTACGATGATATGCCTCCATTACATGATATGACCTTAGCCTCACTTATTATCCTTTTACAGAGCTATATAAAATAAATTGCTTTAAACTATCCCACAAATTCTGCTCAGTTCAATGAGTTCCCATAGTATCTACCCGAGAGCCTAGTTCAACAGGTCTAGATAGATTCCAGTTTGTGAAGTCCTCTAAAAGCATTTTCAAGCGAGTTCAAGCGATTTCACCTTATCAATGTCTGGATGTACTGAAACTCTGATGTTATAGAGCGAGTCAGAGTTACGGTATTTATAGGGTGATTTTTTTGACTTAATCACTTAAGAACGCTATTACCATAGTAAACATATACAAATGTATAGAACTGCATTGAAGAGAAAAGGAAATGATAATTCTACATACAATACCGATCATTCCTTCAACTGTCCCAGTGAAGTAAACAGTGATGACTTCGTCCATTGAAAGATAAAGTGACGACGGCGTGTTTCTGTTTGTAAGAACGACAGATCGGCAAAGGAATTTGAAAGCGCAGGGTGCAGCCATCCAATGATCACCGTTTGTTCCCTGGCCTTTTGTGTAAAAAGACAGAAGAAAGGAATAGGTATGTAAAATTGAGTTTAAGGAATTTTATGGTACACCCTCTAGCGAGCTTAGTTTGTGTATTTCTTTGACCTCAAACAACTTTTACTCAGTTCAGAACTTGATGTACTTCTACAACCTTATACAAAATAACTTTATTTCTTTAGCTAAACAATATCTGTTTCCAAGATGTTCGCATTAATGTAACAGTTGCCTAACGATGTAAATAAGCGTAAAATTCAAACCGTCCTATTCTATACATCGAAAGCGTGTACTGCTCTGCCTATACGGCATCAAGCACTTCATGACAGACCGGCAAAAAGAACTTTCATTATTGCCAAGATTACGAGTCAGAAATGATGATATCTTTTCTCAGAGGTTTTACAATCTCTTACTGTAAAGCAGTGTCTATTTACAATAGAATATTAAGCACAAACCAACATTATTCCTAGAATTATACTAGTATTGGTGTTGACAATCCAATTTTCTACGATAGCATCCCTCTCCTACTGATTTCAGCAGGCGCGGCAAATGAATGCAATAGAACAAGCTTCTCTATCGTGTATGCGAATAAAGATGCTTACCAATAAGTTCTATTCTGTAAGCCCTTTGGTCTGCATTGAAGTATTCCACAACCAGTTTGTATGGCCCAGTTGCATTCACGCTGATGTTGAAATAAACAGCAACCTTGAAAAAGAAGCGATTGTAAAGTTTAACAAAGTTTATTGCTGGACTCATCACTGAGTCATTATTGGCTTTCCTCAAAATTTTGAGGAAATTCATTTTGGCGTTCTTTTGAGTGGGAATCTCGTTCATGTTCTCACGGAACATATTCTAATTATAGACAGAAATTCCCAGTATTAAACATCTCGGGAATCAATTGACTATTTTTTCTATTTTCGATTATTTCATTTGATATTTTTCCTTCAATAACATCTTTATCCGGGAGGATCCACGATCTAATCTTCTAGTTCCAAAAACTGAATGCACTGGTCAGCACTTAACAAGAACTAAATGATCGTCGTTAACAGCACACCTCGCAAACTCCTGCACAGACCCGATCCACCATCAGATTTATAAAAAAGGTGACAGTTACGTGTGCTGCAGGATTGTATGCAGCACAACATTTCTTTGCTGTGTTGTTGTGATCCCACGGCTGCCACCAGTTTTTCAAAACACGCAGATTTAACATGCATCCTTTTCCGTTATGTTCTTCAAACTCTGTTTTCAAATTCTGCCATAAAAGCCAGTCATTCTCAATTTCAAAGTTTTCTTAAAAACGCAAATCATTCAATTGCCAGCATCATGAGCAGACCTTTAAATCTTACAACAGAATGAGTAGAGCATAAGATATTTCAATATGACTTAAGAAAAGAAAAAAATTAACTTAAGAAGCTGGTTCAAGAAAAAAGACAATGAATTTATCTTTAATAACAATAGCGAAGAAATTGACCAAAAAATTAATGAAATGATTACAGCTTTGACTATGAGGCACTTTACAACTTTACAAGAGACGAATGAGCCCAGAGGTTGAGGTTTGATTTGTGCTGAAATTTTGACTTGAGATTTTCAGGCTTGACCAGTTAAAACACTTTTGATATTCAGTCCCCAGTTTGCTCAAACTTTTGAAAATTTTCCATTGCCATGGAGATTTCAAACCGGGGCGAACTTTCAGGTCGGATTAAGCCCGGGTTCTCGCCTGGAGGAATACAAAATATATGAAGTTACATACTTGGTTGGCACTTATCATTGCTAATCCGTCTAGATTCAACAGTCTCAGCATATCTGGGTCCTCGAAATCCAAAACCTCGATTTCATCTGATCTCTCTCTCAAAAAGCCTGCATTTCCAGGAAAACTATGAAAATCTTCCTGGCCGAGATTCAGGTGCTCGTACATGCTGCAAACATCAGTCAACAAGCTTTGGATATTGCATGGGTTTGGGATCGGGCTGAGAACTTGCTTCGGGTTGTAGTATTCTTCTTGGACAAGAGAGATGTGATCCTATTGAGGAATGCTTAATAGCATTAAACGAAGTATTCCGTAAACTTGAAATTGGAAATAAATATGCAAGGGCTAATTATATTAACGATGTTTCAGGCAAAGCCCGCTATCAAGACAGGCTATGTTCTTAAAAATGGGCTACAAAAGAAACCTGCATAAGAAACCTAGGTTTTCTTCTGGCAGCCTGAATAAGGTTCTTAATTAACAGGCTGCTATTCTAGTAAGGCTCCTGCCTGTAAGGTTCTTGACAAGGCTCTTATATACGTACAGCCCTTGCATACATTAACAATTTTCCACCGCAAGGATTGTCACTGACACTGTTAAACCAGCTTCATTTTTCTGGTTAAATTGAAAAAACAAATCAAATCGCTCAATGCTTTATTAAATTCAAAGTATTAAATTCACGCAATGTAGTCGTCACTTCAAAGTGTCAATCGTAAGGTCTATGTTTTATTCAAGTCTGGCAGATAATTTTTTAGCATGAAAGGCTACAGCTACCTAATAACTGATTCTATTGAAAGCAAGGCTCTATTCACATAGCTAGGGAACGATGATATCCAGCTGCGGTGCGGTATCAAACGACGCGTTTAATTGGCTATGTTTATTTGTTAAATCTTCGACAAGCTATGACGATAGTTTATACAAAACGCAAAAAAAAAGATATTGCCTATTGGCTTCAATTAACGAAAGAAAGGGTGAGAGTCCAAGAATCTGATAATCAAGAGAACAAATCAAAGTTCTGTGAAATACAAAAATATCCAGATATCTTTGTTAATGTTGAAGTCGATTTTTTTATTACCATTTAAGTTGAAGGAAAAGTAGTAAGTCAAAATAAGAATTATGTATACGTGGAAAATCCGCTTAGGCAAAAACCTACTCCTATCTTCGACTAAATTTACTTAAATAAAGCACTGTAGAAAGAGATGGAGAGAAACGCTTACCAAATATAGCGAAATAGATTTTGAGGACACACGAATTTCCCATTCGCCAGCTGTCAGTTCAATGTCACTCAACTCAGGAGAGGTAGCATATTTACTCCGATATTCCACGTCAGAATCGAACTTCACCGTGCTGTTGAATTGTCTTAACACTTCAAATAAAATATTTTTTGGTTACATTTATGCAATTAATATTTACAATCCAAATGACCATTTTACAGGGAATCCAGGGATACAAACTGAGTTCCAAAGTGATGACGTTATACAATCTACTTTTATTTTCTCATAATTCGGACGACATAGCCTGAAACAGCATTAAACGAACTACCTCTAAATGTACAAAATCAGTTCAATGTGCTATAGAATGGTGGATATATGGCCAATGAGCACAGGCACATTATTATAATTCTCCATCAAATTCCTGTTATTTTTGTAATGGCTTTAGAAGCTAGGACCAGGACAAAAACAACAAAAACCAAGTAGCAAAGCTCAGTTCTTTCGTTTGCTGTATCTCATTCAACTTGCAGCAGATTTAACTGATTTGGCTCTTTAAGAGGTATTTCATGTTTGTTTAAAGTAAAAAATATTGAAATCTTGAAAATGTTTGATGACGTCATACCTTGGTAATCTTTATGAATACAAATGGACATGAAACATGACACTAAACAATATTTTAAATTATACTGAAACCACTTATAGAAAAATGTCCTCTAACATCGCATGTTTGAACAGAAAAAAGCAACGCTGAACTATTTACAAAGATATGATCTTACGTAAGTTTCACATTTGTTACCACTTCGCCTACAAACTTCTTCAAAAAAATTCTTCTTATGTCTTTCTGAATTATATTATGTAAAACCAACAACAAAACAGCAAATAAAAATCCTTTACAAACATCTTCAGGCTCAACAAGGTTTAAATTATCAAAGTTAGATTACATAACTATATATAGGTATCTACAATCCCTGACCAAAATAGTTGAAAAAAGCCTAATGTTTCTCTTACTAGCTTCCCCATTCTCCGATTCCATGTTGAATGCATTCTGATCCAACATTGATTCGGGGAGAAAGGTGGAATTCGGATTTACATGGGCAACGAAAAGTGGGAGATTGCAAAAATTGCGTTTCGTCTCTACAATTTTGTCCAGGATTGCAGCGATAACTCCTGGAATCATTTAACAGATAAGCCAACTTTACCTTTGCTTTGTAGACTTCGGATATCAACGGTGGCAAACGCTTGTTTTGTCCCTGCCAAAATGTACTTCACAGCAAGCATGTATCGATGAGTTTTGGCCACGTTAATTTTCAGTGTGACGTTTTCCTGCAAAGGATCACAAACAGCTTCAAAAGCAGGAATATCCAAACATTGAAATTTGAAATGATCCTAAAGCGAGAATTCTAATCTCAAACACTTCAAAGGTAGCCCGTCAGAAGAACAGGTATGAGTTAAGACTTCTAGTATATAGACAAAAATTCTTTTAAAACAATTCAAACCTGTCCATATCCAAACGGCACGTATCCCTTCCAGGAAAAGTCCGGGAAGACAAAAGAACTGTATTCGTATGCCACTGGGTTTCCATTATCCAATATTCCATTTTCAAATTCGTATTTGAGCTGATATGGGCTTGGCAGGAAGTAGCTTCCTTTGCGAACCCTAATGAAAGAAAACCCGATTGGTCAGTTCTTTTTCAGATATCTCAAGATTCTATTTTAGATACAGGTGAATAAGAATATTGTTGTCATACTTCTTAGAGTTTGTGTATGAAATTTACAGTTTTGCAGCTTAGGCAGAGCTGTACGGGTTATGATTTATAAAGCAGGATAGTATAAAGATGCTAATCCGAGTTTCACGAGTCTTCTAAGAGTCTGTTTATAGAGTTCTCATGTGTGACGTAAGAAACTATATTTAGAATTTTCGAATTTTGACCACATAAAATAAAATAACACATGAAATGCTCACATATATGGAAAACCAGTCGAATTCGTAAAAAATCGGGTAAGCTATGGCCATTAGAAGATTCGAAGTTTGCTAACGGGTTACTGTTATTTTGGCTCAGTTAATAAAGTTATGCACTGAGACCAAATTACAGAGGTTAGATGGGGCCAGAGCTGGTGCTCATCTGGTCATAACTCAGATTTAGAGGAATTTCATAATGCTCTTCCAGATTATGGGAACAAATTTCAAAAGTTCTAAAAACAGATTTTTGAAACGTCATCACTTGACAACTCTATTTGTGAATTGTCTTCTAGCCTTCAAGTTTTGCTTTTCTTTTAGTTGATCATATTAGTGCAATACCGAAAGCCTATTCCTAAAGCCCTAACAAGAGAAAGGTGGGATGTTGGATGTTCAAAGACAACAAGGTCCGAGATAAAAGGCGAGTACTGTGACAATTTTGGTATAAGAAAATTGGTAAGGAGACTTCAAAAATGTTTGAGGAAAGGAGTCTGGCGTTCTGAATCGTGTTTCATAATCTCCCCACGATCTCCCTAAAGAAAGTTATGGTATCGTTTGCTTTTTTTCAATCGGAAGCAGCTCATTTTCGTCGAAGTAAGAACGAAATTTCTCCGTATAAACGCAGCGCCAGCTGACCAGAGAAACATCCTATGTTCCCACGTGTTAGAGAATCCACATGCTGATGGGCGTTCGAATGATATCATAATGTACCCGCAATCTCTAGGGAAAGCTACCTGTCGCATCGATGTCCTTCGATGTTTCTTTTGCAGGCGCATCTGCCAGAATTCTCACATGTCAAACCAATCGATGAGCCCACTCCACATTGACAAGCTGTGGCGAAATCAGACATAAAATTTAACAATCATTTACGGAATTTGACTTTTTCCGGAATTCAACTAGCATGTCCGGAGTTTGTAAGACAACGTTCTATATCAACGCTCCAAGACAATGATGTATCTGCATAACTCAACGTAGAAATTATTCTACACGATCATAGAGAAGCGAATAACAAGACCCTGTTAACCTTAGATCCTGAAGTCTAAGAATTTTTCTTTTACCCTTTATCATCTCCTTTGCAGTTTTGATTTGCTCACGCAGTAGTACGAATGGCTTACGGATTTAACAAAAATAGACTTTGTGAAAGTCTACTGGTAACCATACCTGGAAATCGGGGTTTCTTTCTTACAAATTTTAGCAAAAGTCGAAAAAGCTTTACTGCAAAAGGACGAAATTCCCCTTTTTTGCTTTGACAAAAAATAATTCAGATTTTCACAAGACATTTTCAATTATGTCTAATGTTGAAAACAACCAACTTTTTGAAAAAGTAAAGGCAGTAGCAAAGGAAGGAGCCAAATTATTGGAGCACTTTTATTTGAAAACAATACGAGCAAATAAATTTTCACTTGGAAACAAAGTATTTCCATGATTCTTTTGGAGGGGGCTTGAGCCCCCTGCCCCCCCCCTCCCACAAACAATCATAGCTACGGCCTATGACTCTTTATCTTACTGTTGTTTTATTAAAAGAACTCTTCAAAGCGATAAATACAAATTCCCATGCATTTGCAGCAACCCTATACCATCAAAGGTTCACGTACCCCTGCATCCAAGGAAATTTCCATGTCCAGCATCAAAGTAACCATCTTTGCACGTGTCACATGTTCTTCCATGCACGTGACTTTTACACGGGCATTTCCCAGTGTTTTTATCACAGTCCAAAATAGAAGCGATTGTACCTTCAGCAAAACACCCACAGTCAACACATGTTGATACTCGGCTTTCTGTGTCGTTATAAAATAAATCACGACATGATGAATATGTCTTCTGGCCGCCATCTTGACATGAAAGCTACAAAAAAAGAAAAGTTACCTGAAGTTAAGTTAATCGCGAGTGAATCGAAAATGGCAATAAGCCTTTGCAAAATAATGATAGGATAAATCTAGATACTTTTATCTTGATTTGATAATTTTCAAGCATATAACAAGGATCTTTTGAAAAGGTTATAGGGACTTCTGTTTCTACTCTAATGTAAGCCTTGAAGCAGGTTGCCTCGGGGGTATGAGGACATTTCTTATAATGCAAATTGCGAAAGCTTTTAGTGAAAGCCCTAAAGCTTTGAAAGCTGACAGAAAGGCGGTATTCAGACACTCCTGCCAGAAATTATTACCATAAAAATAATAGAAAACATCTAGATGACGGACCATGGAGCTGATCACCTAATAACACAAACCAAGAAAATAAGACATTGCGAAACCGCGCGACTCACCGAATGATCACAGAATTGGTCGCTTTTAATTCCTTCATCTTTATTAGCTTTTTCACCTTTGTTACTCTTTTCATCAACCGTTACAATTGGTATAACATTTTTTTCTTCTGTAACTAATGTTTCATTCTTAACATCTTTTTCTTTATATAGACTGTCTTGCATGACGTCACAGTTTTCTCCTGTCATCTCTGGGTTAAGACAAATGTCGCATTTCAGTCCAGTGAAGTTTTCCTTGCAGAAACAGTGCCCAGTGGTGACATTACAGTCAGCAGATGTGGAACCATTTAGGTTACAGCTGCAAGCTACAAGAAAACCAACTAAGAATTTGAAAAAAGCACAAAAAGGTTGAAATCTGGCTTTTCTATAGCATTTTTAAACCTTGCAGTACCTGATGGCTCTTTGGCTAAATGTTTCAATTAGCTGCAAAACATATCCACATGTTCGGTTATATGCCTGAAATACTTAAATAAAGCTTCTGGTAGAAAATTAGCTTCTAAATATTTCCTTAGTGAAAATTGTTGGTTCATCTGGAGGGAAGTTTTGACATTCTTATGATCAGCAGTATATTATTTTGTCTATATAAAATTTTATATAAGCAGCAGTTTATATTAAATTTTCCACGTTTGAAAGACATTCCTTGTTCCTACAAATCACTCAAAAATCACAGCTAAAGAACGTTTGATAGCTAAACACTCCACTTGCTTTGATAGCCTCACTTTATCATAAGTTCTCACTCATTTCATATCATTAATAAACAATGCTTTTGTGCTGTATTGTAAATCTCCGTCTACTTGTCGGTTGGCAACGTTTTAGCTGGCTAATTAAGAGATGGAATGTATAATAAAGATACTAGTCTAATTACACAGGATGGTTTGAATCTATCTTGTACCAACTTTCCACAGGATGATCTCCGATTGGCACAAGTCGCTTTCATTTAAATTTTTCTTGTACTTAACACGCCCACAATAATAAAATCATTCAATGTTAATTCTGAATGTCACTATTGTTTAGAGTTAAGTTACTTCCTTGTTCCTTTGAATGTGATGGAAAACTGACATTCGTGGGTTATCGTGCTATTTTTGAAGTCCACCTACCTTTGCATTCTGGGTAGCCAAAGTATCCCAAGTTGCATTGCTCACAGTTGTCTCCCTGGAAATTTTCCTCACAGAAACATTCGCCAGTGAAGCGATTGCAAATGTTAGTACTTGTTTGATTCCTTGGACAATAACAATCTGCAAAAAAAGATATTTCATATCTACTCGTGTGTAAAAAGAATATTTCATATCTACTCCTGTGTTTACCATGAACAACTGAAATATGCATCGGAAAAGTTAATTTATACCTGGGTGTCAGAATAGAGGGCATTTGGGGCACGTGCGATTCCAACTTTTAAGATAATGCTTCTCATTAAGAAGTGCCCTATTTACTACCCTTGAAACAGTGCTCTTTTTCTGCAACACAGTGCCCCTTCTCATATGTTCCCCTTCAGCCCTGAAATGCTATCCTCCGCCTAAACGTATGAAACTTAGACTCAAAGTCAGCATCAGCATGCAAAAACATTTAACTTCCAAGCAGAGGATTTATTAATAATCTACTATTGCGTGGAATTTTCTTATTCAAATCCAAGCAAGCCCAGGCAGGAGCAAATTCACAGAATAAAATCAATTAGCCTGTGTATGGGAAGCTGAGCCAGATTCTGCTTTTTATTGTGTTGCAAACCAGAAAAGTAGTTAAAACCACTACTGTCATAGGTGCTGCAACCTTAGCAGTTAATGCACGAACCCTGATATCACAAATCTAAGCTAAGTATAAATTAAGTTTGCTGTAAAACGTTCCCTTCAAAGAACACTTAGAAACATCCAGCATACCTACACAATACTTCGTGCTAAACGAAATCTCAATGTTAATTTGGATATCAACTAGGCGTGTTAAGAGTACAAAAAAGTTACAAAAGGTCATACCCTGGCAAATAGGAAACCTGTAATATCCACTTGAGCAACGATCACACATTTGTCCCCCAACTCTCGGCTTGCAATCACATTGCCCAGTGTCAGGATGGCATCTTATTGTTTTTGAACCAAAATGGTTGCAGGTACACGCTGGCAATAGGAATGTTAGAAAATTTGTTTTAGTATACAATTAAGGAGCAGAAATGCAATTACAAAAAACATTCAAAAAACTAGATTTTTCCACCACAAAAGAACAAATTAGTTAATAATTCCAGGTTCGTCGATACTACTGCTTTACAATGGGTACCAGAGCCTCAGTGAAAGAGATAGCCGAACAGTACAATTCAGGTTGTAATTATTAGGTTTGACTTCTGCTTAGTTTCTTATTTTCGAATCAAGTCATACTTTTTTAACTTAAGCATACAACAACCACGTAGCTGTAGGTGTTCGCTAGGGGGGGGGGGCAAACTCGAGCAAGAACCATACCTCGGGGGGGGGGGGCAGGCTTTAAAAATAGAAAACAGATATATAACAAACAGATATATTTGGACAAAATCAAGGTCGTGGAATTATAAATATACCAAATTTTCAAAATATCATTTGGAAAAACTGTAGCCAGAGGGGGCAAGCTGTTGTAAAGATTTTCATTTGGGGGGGGGGCACAGCCCCCCGTGCCCCCCTGCAGCTACGTTGCTGGCATACAAATTGAAGATTTAATGAGAACATCTTACAGGTGAGGTAAACTTGCACAATTTTGATAGATACGCATATGTAAAAAAGACGAATACAAAACCTTTCTAATTGAACAGGTTACTAAATTACGATAAATAAATTCAACAATGTCACGTTATGTAGCGAGTAGAACATTATGAAAGCATGGGCGTCATGTATGTTACTGTAGAAGACATCGCATCTACCACTAGATAGATAACTGTCTTAAATCAGGAAAAATTGTATGAGAGCGATAAGTTTTGTAAAAAAATATTTTTAGCCGTTATTTATGAAAATAATCAACACGTGCTTCCAACTACAAGCAGAGCAATACGCATGGGATTGACGTGATGCCCCGCACAACTCGATTTTAAGGCTTCGAGTTCTTAAGTGATGATGGCACAAAGTCTATTTTTTAGAATTTTTTATTTGGATCCTATAACCTGAAAAAGCACCATGAAATACTTCCATTTGTGCAAAATCACTTGATTGTGTAACGAATTGGCTGAGATATGGTCTCATGAGCACAAGCGCTTTCCCCTTCCAACCTATTCTGTTCCTGTTTATAACTTTCTGAACAGCCATTAACAAACTTGAAATCTTCCATTGATCAAATCTCACCCGAATCGTGACATACTTAACTCGTTTTTCATAGCGATTCATGGTGTTATTTTACGATCTGGGACAAAAATTATAAAAATTCCCAAAAAAGTGTTTGTGCCAACATCAACCACAACAAAAAGTGCAGGCTCTTCGTCGAAAGGGTAGAAAATCATAGGCGGGCCAATCCATTGAATTGAAGACTTCTCTCCTACAGAACTGAAGCTAAGACACCTTTGATTGGGGCTAAATTTAAGAATGGCTTAGGCCAAACTCGAGGTTTATACAACACGTATAAGAGTATCTGGAGAATACGTTTAATAATGAAATACTTACGCATGCAATTAGGATAGCCGTAAAAGAAATCGTCGCACTGATCACAGAAGTCTCCACTGTAACCTCCTTTACAAATGCATTTGTAGTTATGGGCAGGCAGTGGATGGCATAAATCGTACAGCGTTCCCTTTTCATGACACGTGCAAACTGTTAAAAACAGTATACGAAAACATATATCAAACTTCTTGGATGCAAGAGCCGAAAAGTTTCTTTTCATAAAAATGTAAGCACTACAGAGCTGTTTTTGAAGGGGATATTGTCTTACGTCTAAATGTAACAATAATTCACTGTATATTTTTAACAGGGCGGTTATTCATACGGTTATTTAGATCAAGTATCTAGCTTTCTCGAGCATTTCCGATAAAACAATCTGGCAACAGCAATCACAGAGCAATAATTGGGGAAGGCCTACAGTTTAAGGTTAATAGAGAATTTGTCTACTACCGCCATATACATTAGGGGGAATATTAAACAGTGAAACTTCGCTTATTGAAAGAAACCTTAGCTTTTTCGTCTGTAGTTTTTTTGGATTGCTCGCTGGTGCTTATCGCCCTTTCAAACAATATTTGATGTTAGGTTTGATTACAAGCTAAGAGTCCAAGAAATTCTACAGTTCATATAAAAGTCTATTGAACCTCCCCAAATCAAGCATACAAGTTCTTGAGAGAGGCTATCATGAAGGGAAAGCAATAACTTTAGAGGAGACATATTTGTTTCTATTTTCAAACCTACTTTCTCTTCTCGATCTTCTTTTAAATTCTTTAAACTCTGAAAAGAATAACAATTCTGTTATAGTATTAACCATTAATTTTTACACAGCAAACTCTAATTGTTCGTTATATTCTATACAGTAGAAGACAAGCCTCGCAATGCTTTACTTTACAAGTCTTTTCGGATAGCTTCATAGAAGGTTTTTGCTAAAGTTCATTGGAAGCTTTGCAGTAATTCTGCGATGGATACTCAGTCTTTTTGGCAAACCGAACAATGAAGCAATGAAATAATACGCTGAACGGAAGCGATGTCTTTGCATGTCACGCCTCTACGGCAACTTTTCAGAACTGTAAGGCCTGGTTCAAATGTCGCACTTCTCATGTGTCGAACCTAACTCTGTTTGGAGCGACACTTGAGCATGTTTAGCGCGACTCCCGTTTCAAACGTCGAACTTAATTATGTCGCGCCAAATGGGTTTAAGATTGTCACATGAAGTATCTTGGTTAAGGCGCGCAATCTCAAATATTTGTTTGAAACTCATGCGCCCTCCAAGAAAGAAATGAATTCTGGGAAGGAAAATAAATTATATATAATTATGCATTGAGTTCGGTACATGACAAGTTCGACGCTTGAAACCGTGCCGTGCTGGAGCCAGAGGCGAAACTACCGGGGGGTGTGTGGGGGGGGGGTGATTTTTGAAATGGAAATATTATATTTGTTATAAACCTCCCTTCCTGACATTGAATTTTAGAGAACGGAAAAGGTATTTCCTTCTCTTTCCTTCCCCAACGTCTAACACTAGAGTTTTAGCATGACATCCCCCTTCCTATTTTTCCCAATAAACAATAATATTTTCAATAAACAATCAGTTCTTTTAGCACAATAGTATTTTGCTAAATTTTTGTCTGAAAGATGCTTTTTAGCCCTTTTACAAGGTATAATTTCAAAAAATTTCTTCACGTCGGACCCAACCATGGTGGATCCTCCTACCTCACTAAACTCGACTTTTAGCCCCACTGGGCTAATTTTTGTTGCGCTGTCTACATCATGTACCCCCCCCCCCCAATTAGCTGTTTATTAGCTTAATTTTGCAAACCAACATTAAATGAAGTCAATTTAAAAAACAATTTACGCTCACGTAGAGAAATAGAAATTTCATCGGCAATGAAGTTTTAAGTTTGTTTCTATTGCTTAGAAGTTTGTCCTGTGGTAAAGACCAGTGTTCACTGGTAAAGCTTTCACTGGTAACCTATAGACAAACCGTTGCTACTAGATCTGCAGGGCACCACTCAGTTTTGCAGGGCAGAAACCCTTTTCACCCCCCCCCCAAAACTATTGGCCAAGTTACGCCCTTGGCTGGAGCCGTGCAGCTCGGCAAGCTCTGCTGATCCAAACTAGTCTGTCGCTCCTAACTAAATCTGCCGTACCAAATTGATTCAAACGTCGCGCCCCTCATGTACTTAATTCTCGAGTTAGGTTCGGCACATGAGAAGCGCGACGTTTGAACCAGGCCTAAGAAACTGCGTGTTGAACTTGAATAGCGTGGTCAGACAAAGAATAATGAACTTCCAAACCGTGGCCAGAAATGTGGAAATCGCAAAATGTTGATGACCATGACTTGAACTAAAGGTCACTGATAAGAAATAACCCAACAGTTTACTCATAGTTTCTCAGGGAAATTTTGAAAACTTTTTGTCGTTGGCCGGAAAAAGTGTGTGCATTTTTCTATACTCTGGTCCCAACACGGAACAACAGCAAGATTTATCAATAGGTCCGGAATCTATGAGAACGAGCACCGATGTAAGATCTCGTTTAGCTGGTCAAACAAGATTGGTTGTCAAAACCAGCTGCAATCATGATCGCGGAAATGGACGTCTAGCTTAAGAAAAATTGCAACGTCAAAAGCCCCATACCTCTGGTGCAGATGTGAAAAAATACCTAAAAATGCCAGGTGCGCCACTTAGGTGTGCAAGCACTATCAATTTTTTCAGAGTTTACTTTAATCTGGTCTTTTCTTGCTCCCTCAGCGTCAATATGTCGGTACAGTTTGCACATTTGCCATGCTTTGTCAACTGGAAGGGGGGCAGTAACTTTTTGATATAGAGTTGTCTAGGAATATTTTGTTGTTGTCCTGTTCTTCTGCAAAATTATAAAACAGAACTATAATTTCTGTGTTTAATTTCCTTACTTTTCTTAAAGCTTCGAAAGAAAAAGATAAAATTTCAAGTGGTCCTCAAGGGGAAGAATTGGACAAAAAATTTTCACTACGTGATGCCACTAACAGTTGTGCGAAGTCTAGGAAAACCAATTGCACAATAACCAAAATACACAATATTGTTTCAAGTGATAATTCAGCAAAAAGACTGTTTTTCTTAAAATATCTTGAATATAATGACCATTAAGAATAAAAATGCAAGACGTTTGCTCATATTTTAGAAGCCACGCATTGTCCGATGAAACTGAGTGAAAATTCGCAAACTGTATTATGTACTGATATAAAAAAGTGAAATTAGATTGGCGATTTTGCAGAGGTAGTTTACCATTTACAGGCACCGCGGAGCAGGGAGGGGGCAGGGGCAGGGGGCTTTACCCACTTTTTCCAAAAAATGCAAAATATTAAAAAATGGATCACCATTAAAGCCTCTTTTTATTCGATTTTAACCCCACCTACACATTATTAGACCCCCCCCACCCCCAACCCCCCTTTCTCAACACTCCTGCATTCGAATGGTCTTTGAATTGAAGGTACGTGTTCAGGCCCGTCGGAACCGGGGGGGGCTGGGGGGACTGGAGCCCCCCAATAATTGTCAGACTGTAGTATATTTCCTTCATAACAGTGTACTGAATGAGAAGGATAACAATGGGCAGCCCCCCCCCCCCAATATGAATTTCGTTCCGACGGCACTGCGTGTTAGTAAATTACTTAATTAACTAACAAAAACCAATAAACGGTTGGGATAATACCAATACAAGGCTAGATCGGAAAAAATCGTCGAATAAATTTATCCATAAAAGAGTCGAATAAATTGGCTGACAGTTAAACGGAGTCACGTTTATGGGTATAAAGAGGGTATTCATCATCCCAATCATGTTAATAAAGTATTTTGTAAATATCTCACCTTCAGCAAACGCTATTGAATTTCTTTTAAAGTTCTCTCCAATGAGTTTCTTGCTATGACCAGGCAGATTCAGATCTTTTCCGCTGCTTGCCAATGACAATGACCAAATGACGAACTGCGCTTGGCAACTAAGTACAACAAATGATAGTGTAGCGACCATGTTTTTATGGCGTCTCAGGCCTAACTTAGGCCCGTGTGAAGTCCTTGTAAATCGACGTCGAGTCTCAAAGTCAGATATTTATCCTACACAAAAATCATGCTATATTGTGATTATGGCAGGATAGCCCAACAAAGGCTCAAACAAAACGATTCAATGCTATACCATGATCTTCGTGCCAGTTTACAGGAAATGTGTGTGGTTGAAAAAGGAACCCCCATGAGACGATGGCGGAAGTAAACTAGTAAACGTGGAAGTGAGTCGGCCACAGAGGAATCTCTATATATTGCAAAGATCTGAAGGCTTTAAAAACGCAAGGAAATCCCCGTTTAAAAACAACGAAACAATTTAATACCCCAAGTTATAAAGTTATAAAGTTATAAAGCGATTAGACCAATAACCGTGTGACACCCATTAAACAGATTTCTTGCAAAGATAAATAATTCTCTGCTCAACTCCCTGCTTCTTGTCAGGGGAAATGTTTTGCTCAAGTTTGGAAAGACTTGATAGAAGACTCTAGATCAGGGTCCGAGCCACGAATTTTGATGTGGGGGAGAGGGGGAGCAAGGCTAAAAATGTAGGGGGCCAAGGCTTCTTACCCCTTTAATTGCAGTTTTAAATCTACTTGCTTCGCAAAATCCACACCGCCCCCCTCCCAGTGACGCGGGCCCTGTAGATAGCAAAGGTTTTGTCTTCAGGAGTTGTTCTACGAAAAATTTACAACAACACAAATTCAACACTGATAATTTTCTTGTTAAAATTTTAACTCAACTCTTGAGAAAAGTTAAGTTCAAGAGTCTTAGAGCCTCTCCTGTTAATATTGTCACTAATGAAGTTTAGTTTATCTTTCTTGAACGATACTGATTCAGTTTCTAATAGATTGAAAGTACCCGTAATGAAGAAAACCTATGTAGACAACTGTAGAAGAAAACTTATTGCAAAACGCTGCTGTTTTGTTTTCTCAGGACTACACTGCGCTTGCAACAATAGGTCGACACATTTTCCAGTCCAGGAAATATACTTGGACAGTCCAAGAAATGTATGGACCACAAAGCAATTGCCACATAAATATAATTTGAATATTCGGAAGCTTTTCGGTGTTTGAAACATTTATATGGTTTCAAATAAACAATATTTCTGTGAAAAGTGATATTTTCTGATGAGATTAATTGTCCTGAAAAACGCAATTTTCTGGCTCTATGAATTTCTCCAACTTACCCCGATATGTCCATTTTGCCAAGTATCCACCATTGCAAAGGTTACACTCTGTTTGCAAAAACATGTTTTAAAAAGCACAGAGGCTCCGTACGTCAAATAAACAAGAGGAACATTAAAACATGCAAAAGCTCGGATGAAAAATTAGATGTGATTTTTTCTAATATTTACTCTCGTGTTTGAAAAATGGAGCATGTTTTTCCAGCTGATCTACCGTGCTAGAAAAAAATTAATGCAAAAACCGTTGATCGTAGAAACTTTCTATAGAATGTGAATGTAGATAATCAATGTTGAATTACAAAGAAAATTTAGACATCTCAGGCATCTTGGGCCTCAACTTATCCAAAAATTATGAACATAGATCCCAAGCAAAATATTATCTGGCCCTTATAAAAAGTTTATAACAGGAACCAAATAAAGTTCACTTTGGAATCAAATTTACTTCCTAGTAAACAACTTTTTCAAAAAAATATTCCTGTTTTGGCTTCAGTGCATCTTTCAAAACCACTAAAGATTTTGGACCTTTTTCTCAATTCTTTGCACATATTATTGTCAAAACAACTGAAGAAGCAGAGGGATGTGATACTGATAAAGCACGGCTGGGTTCATGTCATTGCGGGGATAACAATTTAGGCAGATGCTTTTGACATCTGCCAATATAATTTCTGAGACTTTTGTAATATCGGTCTTGAATGTGCTTGAAAAGTACCGAATACCCAGTCCGGGTTTTACACCAGCAGTAAATGAACTTTGTCCTAGTCATATAAATATATGTGACACAATAACATCGAACAAAGTTGTGTCCAAACAAAGGTAACGAGAGGCTCGCACCATCGCCAAAGACGCTCGAAAACTGGTTGTTTGCAAAATGAAGCTGTGTATAGTTGGCATCACCGTGCTTGTGGCTTTTGCAGTGACAGCAAATGGCTACTGTGGTATGTACAGTATCGCTAGGTATTTTCTTGCCTCTGCAAAATTTCTTCTGTTCCCAAGTTGCCACTGGATAGGAAGAAACCTATCGTCTGCATCTAGTGGTAGAGATATTTCTCATAGAAAAGCTTTAAAACATATAGATAGCGAATTTTCAATTTTAGCAAATGACTAGGCCACAATGTTTTGAATGATAATTTCGTTAAAATGTCAGTTCAAAATATATCTGAAGTTTCTATACAGTAAAAAATGCGTGAATGCTAGCTGTACACAGAAGTAAGGATAACACATGTTTGGCACTAGGGGCAAATGTAACAAAGGAACACAACAATATTTTCGTTTTTCGATAACATAGGTAGGGAAGCTCTCGACCTCAAAATTTTTGCGCAAATGATTGCGTAATAGAAGAGATCCAGGTATCACAGACCCCTTTCCTCGCGAAAGTATTTCAGAGTTTGTTTTCTGAGACTAAACAGATTTGTCAGGGGAAAGTAAAAACGGCATGGTTTTTATGTTGAAGAATTCGTCATAAAATTTAAAAACTTGCTTTTAGGGGTCCACATTCTTTATCAAACCGAACTTTCAACCCCTGTATATAAAAGTATTTTGATCTGGAATCTTGGAACTTGGGAAGAAAAATTTCTTGTCGGTGTCTCCGTGGTGTTGTCAAAGGGCATTTGCCGACATAAGAGAAGCATGGCCCTCTTTAGCCTGTGTTCCAGACCCCTAAGTTAGGCCCTCTTATGTCGTTATTTCGGGCATTTGCCGACACAAGGCCCGAAATAACGGAAGGGGCATACCCAGGGGTGTAGTGCAGGAAGGGGCTAATCACTACACTACTAGGCATCAATGGCGGCGCCAGCCACTAAGCTCTGGAGGAGGGTGGGACAGAACAAAAATTTTAGGCCACGACTTTTTTAACACAAGAAAACGCCTTTTTTACCAACATAGAACGCAAATTTTACCCGAAGAGGTCGCCCATCGCTAACTTTTGGTTACATAAAGGCAGTTTCAAAGTCATAGGACTACATCACAAGAAGTACGCTGCCAAAATATTACCCTTCCAAGCATTTTCTTATCGAATTTAGACAAAATACCAAGTTGCTTCTGCCGAGAACTGGAGGGGACATGTCCCCCCTCTCCCTCCCCCGTGGCGCTTCTACTGCTAGACATACACCCAAAACCATGGCGTACCAAAAATACCCTTCATTTTTCTCAGATAGACGCTCCCCTGTTTCCCCATTCCTATCTTCTATTTCCGCGCTCGAATTTATGTGGCTCTGGTAACCAGAGTACTAGGCCCATAGGAGAAACACTGTAACGGCGCCCCTTTCTACAGGCCCCAAGAAAATCCCTGCCTGTGGTGTACTGTATAGCATGTTAAAATTTACAAAAGTGTTAAAAATACTACTTAAAAATACTACTTTGGGAGCCCCTTTTTGATCGGGGATAGTTAGTTATCAAACTCGGGTGCCCCTAACTGCGTTACGCCACTGGTCCTAAATCCTTTTTCCAGTACAATTTTAATATTGAAACAATCATCATCATCATCATTTGGCTTCTACTTCGATTTGTCTAGTTAATCATTTTCACAACTATTTCTCTTCTTCGTCTACACCTATTACCGATCGAGCAAGCTTTCCTCGTAGTGCTTACGATAAGTTGGGCTACTTTTTTATAAATTCTGGATACTCTGTTCAGGACCGTTGAAAGGTTTGAGAGGCCCTGGGGCAGAGCTGGATAACGAGGCGCCCTGCGAGCGGAACAAGCTGAAAATTGTTGCGATCTTTTTAGGCATAATTTTGCCATGTTTGATAAATTCCATTCTTAAATGGAACTCATTACTTTTTGAGGCCCCCTACACCTCGAGGCCCTGGGGAATTTTGCCCCCCCTGCCTTCCCCGACTGCCCAAACTTTGCTTTTCTTTGTTTGCAAAGTTTCCTCTATTTTCAGAAAATGATATTTATCCTTTAGATCGTTTCAACTGCTCATCATTATAAAAAATCAATTTTCAATTATTTGCGACCATCCTCTATGCATGAGAATCCCCAACACATCACCTAAAGCACTCCAGGTATCAAAAATACATTTTCCCAGACACACAGGAATCGAGGAACCGCGCCCTTCTTGAGGTTTATATGCCCTTTTTAGGCTGAATCAACTTTGATTTTCATTGGAGTGAAATTCATGACCGTTGAGCTTGATCAATAATTAAACAAGTTTAACCGATCAGAGACAACTTTGATTCCAGAGCTTTTGGCTGTGTCCCCGTTGTAGTGAAGCCTGTGACTAGAATTAATTTGACTCACTGTTTGGTTTGTGCGATGGACATGTCAACAGCGAAAGGAAATTCTTCTATTAGCATTATTTAATTCCAGTTATTAAACCTTCTTGCCATTCCCGATAAATTTTTATTCGCAGCTAGGCTAGTCCAGCCAAAGCGAGCAGCGTAAAGGCAGGCAGACCAATTTTTCATGTTAGCCAATCGGGTGGGGGAGACAATTTTGCATGTAACCCAATTTTATGCATTATATAAAGCATTGAAGATTCAGAACACTATTTTTTGTCGCTTGTATGATGTACAGAGAAGAGGTCTTCTCGAGAGTGTCAATGCAAAATTGCTTGAAAATAGCCTATCGAGCCTTTCAAAAGATGCTCTAGTTCAGGTTATTTGGTATGGAGATAAAAGGCACTAAATGTTATTAACAATGAAATTATCAAGGCTACGCAAAAATACACCCACACATCGTACCGTGTTTTGACAACTTGCTTTTTTACGACCCCTTTCATGAATCATGTTGTACGTAGTTTTTATATCCTTATATTTTATTTGTGTCTGAAGTCTGTGCCAAAATCGAAATAGGTGATGCATAACACAACTGAGAGCTCTGCCTGTGGTCCCCTACATCTTAATCTTCAACCTTCATCATTCTGCATCTATTTTGGGACAGACTCACTTCAAGAGAATTGTAGTTAATTATTAATGGCCACAGGGCTGTGTTGCACTTCCATGCTCCTGTGGTATAGTTTTGTACGTTGTGTCTATTTTAAGCATGCATAAACAATCATCTCCTACAACGTTTAAGTGACTTACTGCAACTACTTTTCTCGCATATTGATAGATAAACCTCCTTCTTTAACAGTAAAAAAGGAAATTTCTTCTATCTTTAAAATGATTTTTTAAAAATTTTGAAAATTGCTCAAATGATTCCCTAGATTACAAGAGCCATGCCATACACACAGGGCTATCCAAAGCCATTCTACAGGCAAATCGATGGTTGTTAGAAGCTCAAGATGATGAAGGAAAATGGCTAGATGCCCATACAACAGGGTATGCGCTGACTGTTTTAAAACTAATGGGATATGATTTGGATGAGGAGAACACGTGCTCAAAAACTTTCCAGAAGGCTGCGAAGTATTTGAAAGGTGTCAAAGGTGACATCAAAGAAGCACATGGTGGTGAACTTGCGCAAATAATAATGGGCCTAAATGCTTTGTGTGAAGATCCAAGTGATTATCAAGGGATGAATTTAACAGACAATTTGCTTCAGGATGTGAACAACTTCCCAAAAGGTATGACGAAGGGCGCCGGAGCCACAGGGGCAGCGCAGGGGGCAGCTCCCCCGTTGCCCTAGTGGTGCATGGGGCAGCACTGGGGCAGCAAAGTGCCCTTTTCATGAAACTGATTTCCAAGCAAATTCAATTCATATCAAAATTTTGAATCCTAATAAAATCTAAGTTTCAAGTATCTCTTGATACCTACATTCAAGAAAAAAGTCAATATTTTCCATTTTGATGTGAACCTTTCCTTTTTGGGACCATAATCTAAAATATTGCTATTCGATCTACTTTTAGAAACACCAAAAACAGGTGTCCCCCGCTTTCATAATGCTTTCTACAATCACTGCCAAAACTCTTGGAACACTTGTAATATTTTCAACGTTTTCATGCATCCGTTCCCCTCCCCCCTTCAAACAATGTTGTCTCACAGCTAAGTTAAGACATACTTTTGTGGCAAACCTTTTTCTACCGGTCGCCCTGATAAACTGCATTGTAAGCAACATTGTTTTAGGGGGGGGAGGGGGGTTTGTCTATTAGAAACACGGGAAATATACGAAAAAGGCAAAAAATTAGCAAAATACGTAGGTGTTCCAAGGAGTTTTGGCAGAGATTGTACGTCCTTGAATTCAAGACATTCCATCAAAACGTTCTTTGAACCAACAAGTTTTCATGTAGCACGGTATTCCTATTCGACGCTTGGAAACTTACCGACTGGTTGGAAATTTGTCCCAGCGGACTCTTTGGCTTGTCCTAGTAGGCCCTTTTGAAACCCCAATAGTTGAAGTCCTTGAAAAAAATCCTGAAGATTTGGCTTGAATTTGGTGGCACATGTAATTTTTTAAGCCAGTATTAAAAGATTCTTGAAGATTTTGAGCGATTTAAGATTCTTATGAAATCCTTATGGGAACCCTGGTGCAATCGGAAATTTCAAAAGCAAGTTTTTGAAGCCTTTTTGAAGCCGAATCGAATTGTCTCCCTTCAGAAGTAACAATAATAGCATGATATAATTCCTTTTGCTCTTGAGATCTTTGTCATACAGATGTAGCCAAATATGGAACACAGTTCCAAATGAAAAAAACTCCCCAACTCTACAACTATTCAAGAGAAAATCTTAGAATTTTCATCTTTCAATTTACATGTAGTTTTGCAACATCAGTTACATTTGATTTAAATCATATTTAGCGTTGTTAATTTAAATTAGTTGGCTTTATTTCGCTCTAATATAGCTACAGATTTTACCAACTTTAAATAAAGAAAGAAAAAACAGAATGTTTAGAGTTTATATCAAGCTTTGCAGATGGTCATCAAAACAGCCTCCCTTGAAGGTGGGACTGGGTCCAGCCTCCCTTGAAGGTGGGACTGGGTCCAGCCTCCCTTGAAGGTGCGACTGGGTCCAGCGTCCCTTGAAGGTGGGACTGGGTCCAGCCTCCCTTGAAGGTGGGACTGGGTCCAGCCTCCATTGAAGGTGGGACTGGGTCCAGCGTCCCTTGAAGGTGGGACTGGGTCCAGCCTCCCTTGAAGGTGGGACTGGGTCCAGCCTCCCTTGAAGGTGGGACTGGGTCCAGCCTCCCTTGAAGGTGGGACTGGGTCCAGCCTCCCTTGATGGTTTATGTTGGGGTGAGAGAAATTTCGAGATTGAAGTTTGACTGTAGTCTTGATTCAAACATGTCATTATGGGTGCTGCCTTCATTTCCGAGAGTCTTTAGGGCGTAGCAATGCAAAATTTTCCTGGGCTTTCACCTACAACCAGACTTCGTCATTGGCTAAACAATGATTTCCGATCTATTTCAGCAGCAAAATTTGACACCCCAAGGTGTCCTTTCTACATTTCCTGCCCCCGCTGCATCACAAAGCTTTGAGTATGACACCAATCTTTCAGGGACACATAGATAGAGCTAAATTGCACAAAAAGTGCAACAAAAAATGTACAGAGCCAGTAATATATTTAAGATCGTTTAACTTGGTAGAAAGAAGAATGTAAGGTCATTGGTAACGCTCTCGAGATTATAAGCCTAAAGATTATACCAAAAGGTTAAAAATTCTGCAACACACACAACAGAGTTTCCAAAGGTTTATTTCTATGCTAAAAATACATGAAAAAAATCACATTTACAGCGTAAGGGAAAATTCGAGGTGAGAGGGAAAAGGAAAATGCACCTTCCTTTTTATCTACTTTATCTCCTTCACAGTTACGTTCTCTTGCCATAACTCGGATTGTCTCTTCATAGTACGAAGATTAGTTTCCATTGAAAACACACGACAACCAAATCCTGTCTATTGACATATATTTATTATTCCTTGGGTCTCCAGGATTTTACGAGAATAGTCATTCCATTGAAATTTAGAGAGCAAAAATGACATTTATCTGAAACTAAAGTGAGCATTGTTGCGCCTTCCAATGCAGTAAGTTTCCGATTTTATTGCTTGAACATTAAGATCAGTAGTTCATACAATATTGTGGTGTACACGAAGCCAGGTTTCTTGTTGACCAAGTTAGTCCAAAGGAAAACAATTAACTATCCCTGCCTTGGCTCCTTGCACGGTTTATGTTGTTAGGTGAGGAGACGAGCTCTTTCTGTATAGACAACTTTAGATTTTAGATTTTATTGCTTGAACATTAAGATCAGTAGTTGATACAATATGGTGGTGTACACGAAGCCAGGTTTCTTGGCTCCTTGCATGGTGTTTTTTAATTTTAGGTGAGAAAACGAGCTCTTTTTGTATAGACAACTTTAGATTTTATTTTTTTTATACCCAAAACCGAAATCTGCTAATACCTTATGTGTCTGTACTGCATTTGAAAAATTTTCGTCTTCAGCTAATGTCATTTTTTCATTTTCCCATTAAAGGCAAATTCAATCACTACTTTCAGTACAGCCTCGCACTGATGACCCTTGGTATCAATGACGTAAGAGTCGAGTGGTCCGCCGTGGAACGAATCTTGAGTAAAGTGGAGATGATACTTCGAACTGGAGAGAAGCACACCAAAGACACGTGTGCACTGTTCGTGATGGCGTTGCAAAGTGTTGTTCATCAATTCCACGATAAAGAATATCAGTTGAAGTGGATTAACAAAATCATTACAAAGCTGAGCAACACCCTGGCAATGAAAACGAAAGCTGGTATGGACAATCACGTGACCATAGCCCTTGTAATGCAGGTAAGATGCGACTGATTGATTGAGGCTTTGAGCAAAAATTGAGTATGTCTCGGCTGGACTGGTTCCAATCCTTGCTTAAAAAATTTTCTTTGACTAGTTTCTTACTATAAATCTAAGATGTAATAATGGATTGCCACCGCAGCTGTCCACAATGTTTTATCCCTGAATTTATGAGGCTCTGGTTCCCAGGGTACGTCTCCTCTTAATTGACATGGTGGCTGCGTATAGTGCAATATTTTGGGGACATGGCAGCCCCGGTATTCCGACCCCAAAACAGTGTAGTAAATCCCCGAACAGCCTAAGAATTTAAGAAACTACAGACAATCTTTTTGTGGCTACGTACTTTGAGTTTAAAAGAAAAATTTCACCTTGACAAACCAAAAGGCTGTTTATTTCAAACAACATTGCCCCTTGAATCATTTTTGCAACAGGATTCCACTATTGTCAAACCGTTAATGTCCCAGCAGTTCATTATTTATATACACCGTTCAGATATTGACCATATATTTGAGCTTCTGACACTGCTTTTCCGTACAAATCTTAAAAACAAAACAAAAAACATACCGATTTTGCTAAAATATCATTTGTTAGTTGCTACAGTATCGTTTGTAATATGTAAAATGTAAAATACTACAGTATCGCTTTTCCTATCAGAAAACGCTGTTTCACCAACAGGGAACACCAATTTTACTAATAAGGAGGTCCATGACTAATTTGTGGTTACTTTTAGTTTGTTTCAAATAATAGAATCACATCATAAAATACTCATTACAGAAATATTACACCCCCTCCTACCCAAATATTACACCCCCCCCATCTTCTACCCAAATATGGACGTGTTATAAAACAGTTGCGTGAATCATGCAGGGGTTTGGCAATAACTCGCAAGAGAATGTAAGAGTCTATAACAAAATATTGAGAAAGCTTTGAGGAAACAGAAGGGGCCTTAGCCACACAGATTGATACACAGATTGATTCAAATAGCACTTTTTTATTCTAGGCTCAAACTGCAGTTGGGAAAGACCTTGATTGGAAGGAAACCAAATGCGAGAAAACACTCAGATATATAATAAATCAGAAAGCTAAAGACGGTTCGTTTGGTAACCTGGGCTCCACGCTCAGTGTTCTTCCTGCTTTAGCTGGTGTTTCATTCTTGGATTTGAAGAACAACGCAAGCTGCAATTACGATGAGAAAAGTAAGAACGTTTTTGAAATAATTATTCGTTCGTGGTGATAATGATTATGTTTTTCTGAAAACAGTCATGTTGATTCCACGTAAAAATGATGATTTGCCCTCGTTAAATTCAATACTTTTCAAGTTACGTTCTTTTTTATAAGAACAATTTTACAGGAACACAAACCTCAAAACTGGTCAAAAGTTAAAAGCAAATAAAGAACAAGCTGAGGCTGAGCTACTGTAAAATGTATTTTGAGCAATGTTTCATAGCAAAAACGAGGAGTTTTTTGCCATCCAGGAATGCTTTTGGTGAATTTTCAATTTTATACAAACTTGTGTGCTGTACAATGTATATAATAGAATAAAACTAGGAATTCAAAATATATATAATTGTAATAGGAAAAATTAACTAATTGATTAAAAAAATTCATTAATTAATAAATTCGCTACTTTTTCCTAGTACAATTTTATTTAAATTCCTAGTTTTAATCTTTAATTTTGTCGGCAAATAAAGGGTGTCTTACTCACATTGTTGGCAAACAAGGCGTGAACAACTCCCAAGAGCGCAAAAAATAGCGACTGCACTGCTTACACTCTAATAATTTTCAAAAAACAGCCAGCCTGAACTTCAATTTACTGCTTTGTATCAAAAAAAGAGTGTAACTTGCTAATAAACTTACATTAACCATAACTTTAGTTTCCAGTCTGCCAAGATGATAATAAACAGTACAGATGGTTCTTGTGACCATAATCCCCGCTATAATCGTAATAATCACGATCAACATGATATCGTTATAATCATCGTTATAATCACGATCAATAATCTTCAGTACTGTGTTTATAAGCAGCAAATCATCACCATAATCGCAGTGATAATCGTAATCATAACGGCGACCTTAATCATAAGTGCAATTCCTGATCGTTGTGATGTTACTCGGTTATGTTTTAATCGTCGTGATTATCACAATATAAGCGCCAATCACATAAGCTTCTTGTTTCTTTTCAGAAAAACCATTGCCAGTAAGTACCGATTCTTCAAGTTCTTAACGAACATAGATCGTGAGTACAAATTTTGTATTGCTGGGGAGAAAAACAAGAGCAAGTACCGTAATTCTTCGAATAAGCCCCCGGGGGCTTATTTGCAAAAATTCGAGGGGGGGGGGCTTATTCGAAGGGGGGCTTATTTGAGGGAGGGCTTATTTCAAAGTTTAGTATTTTCCTCAAAGGTCGACTGATATCATTAAAAGAGACACAAAGTGCTGTGTGAAGATCTAACAAATATTATAATTTTTTATCATCACAAAAGGCGCCTTTTGCTTTTTGGTCTCCAGTCAAAGGAAGTAATACTGTATAGCTGTTTTCCTGTGGGGGCTTTCTTGAAATAAGATATTTTGCAATTATGCTTCCCTCTAATAAGCCCCCATGGGGAGGGCTTATTCGAGGGGGACTTATTCGAGCGTGGGGGGCTTATTCGAGGGTTTACGGTATTCAAATTAGACAGACAACATCCCGTTTAGGAGGTCACAGAGAATTTGCATTAAACTTATATATAAATACGCATTCTCTTACAATTTGAGACAGGAGTGGCATTAGAGGACACTGTCAGGGCCTCCGACGAAGGGGACCGAGGAATCATGCCCCATTTTTTGCAAAACATTAGAGCCTCGTTCAAAATCTTTTGCGATGATTGTTAAATTTACACTTTCCAGCCTGCCTCCGAGACCATGACCGTCGTCTCTAAAGCAAGGCAACAAGGGAGAAAAAATGATTTCTCCTGTGAAAAATGTAAAAATGCGCTTTATGAACACGGACCTATTATTAAAAGTACATTATGGAGATGTCATCTTCAAAATCGATAAAATGTGCTGTTACTTCTAGAATGTGGTACACATGTTTCTCTCCTTAAGCACACGAAGAGAAACAACGATTTGTGTACCACAGGGCTCGGTCTTGGGACCTCTTCTGTTTAACATACACCTCAATGATCTCTTTATGTTTGTGAATGATGCTCAAATTTGTAACTATGCAGATGATACGACTTTCTATGCTATGTTGATGGTATCATTGAAACATTAGAGAGTGATGCCCTTAAAATTGCACAATGGTTTCCGAACAACTGTTTGAAGTTGAATGAGGACAAATGCCATCTAATGGTCTTTGGGAATAAAAGTAATGATATTTCTTTAGATATTGGAAGTTTCTAGATAAAAGAGAGCACGGAAGAAAAGCTGCTTGGAGTGATTCTGGAAAAAACATTATGCTTTAAAAAGCAATTGAGATCCATTTGCAAAAAGGCTGGGCAAAAGCTACATGCTGTATCGAGAATCTCTCACTTTCTTGATACTGAACAACTAAAGAGAATAATGAAGGCATTTATCTTGTCACTGTCCTCTTGTTTGGATGTTCTGCGATAGAACACTTAATAGTAAAGTTAATCGTTTTCACGAACGGGCATTGCGGACAACTTACAAAGATATGAAATCAGATTTTGACACAATGTTACTCAGAGACAATGCGGTCCCAATTCAAAAACAGCATGTTCCTTCCAACATAAGAAACAAAACTGCCCCTCAAAGAGAACAGCCTCCTCGATCTTGTAGGTCTAGAAATACTGGTAAAACAAGTGATTCTGCGATCGGTCAACATCTTTTAGACAACCCAGATTGTGCAAAACTCTATAATGACGACATGTTTCGGATAATTGGCAGAGCCCGGTCGTCCTTCCATCTAGCAGTTTTGGAGTCGATCTACATACAAACGAAAAAGCCGCCATTGTGTAGACAGAAGGAGTTCGTTTTCTCTCTTGGACTCCAGTGGTAATTATTCTTTAGGCTCGCAGCACTGATTGGTCAACTATACCGGTTATGTGCTTGCGTTTTTCTGATTGGCCTATTTAGATCCACAACTGGGTATATATTTTTCATCGTGTTCTTTCGGACCTTTATTCTGAGGAGTGTTTTATGCTCAGACGCAGACGAGTGCTCTGAGGAGTGTCAGACGAAGCTTTTAGTATATTGTAAAATGTTTGCTTTTTTCAAAGCCATTTAAGAATTTGTTATCCTTTGGATCTCTCTAGGGAAATATTGTCGTCAGCATTGATATTGATTTCGAGGCAACTGAAAAAGAGAGTCCCGAAACACAAGTTGTGCAGATAGTAAATGGTTCAACGGTTCTGGATGCATTGCGAGCCGCCGCTGCGGAGGACGAATGCTACCAATTCGAGACACGCACAACATCATGGGGAGAATCACTGGTAAGGCTTTGTAGAAACCACATTGTCAATAACAAGAAAATCTATTGGTTTTACTACGTAAATGGAAAGATGCCAAATAAGGGCTTCGACAGTTACGTGCTGGAAAATGGAGATTCTGTTACATTCAAGTATCGAAAACTCTCAAATTAAATGAAGAGAACAATATAACTGATCGTAGCACGTGCTTATCGATAACCTTTTACAGTGATTTACAAAAGTAGTTGATTGACAGATTTTGTAGTGAAATTTTGTCCAAAGTAGAGCAGTATGATAACGATGGAAGTAGACTGGGCAACTAAATTTAAGCAATCAAGCATTTACAAAATTTCTGCTTCCTTTTTCATTGTACTTTTCTTGAAACGGCAAACAGATGTTTCTTCACGAAGCATAAACGTTGTCCCAACCCTTCTCTGATTTTCAAATTTTGGTATTCAGGCTTCTTTAGGTACCTAATGTTTTCAGTATACGTGTGGGCAAGTTGAAGGGGCCATTGTGCTTTATGTCTTTATGTCTATATTGGAAGCTACTGGGGTCGCCCGTGGGCAACAAGGGGCAACTAAGGGTAACAAGGGGTTCAAGAATCTCCTATGGCTGCAAACATGAAGGAGCATTGACAATATGTGACATTGATAGACAATCGAGCGAAAATTTCAGAAGTTTTGAAAAGGCTATCTTGAAAACATGGAATGTGGAATGTTGGAATGTGGAAATTACATACAAATGCACTTTGTAGGTATATAGGTTTTAGAAGACACATTCCACCTTTCTAACATCGCGAGAGGCAAAAAGTGAATGTGCTGCTCAGGATATTCAGTATGTACACTTCCCCTCAACAAATATTCGTCTTACGGTGCCTGACGAGCATCACAAAAAAGTATCGAAGTACAACCCTATCTTTTCTCTAGATACAATCTGGTAGTATCGTTAGCAGACTCAGGGGCGGATCCAGAGAAAATTTGAAAGAGGGGCAGTTGGTAGTGGGGGCGCTGAAAATTTTTCAGAAATTGTAAGGAAATTTTTCACAATAATGTTGTATGCTTTGAGGAAATCTTTGAAGTAAATTAACCTAGAAGTCTCAGAAACTTTTTCACCTGCTTCTCATTCTTCAAAAGGGGCGTAAAATTTCCAAAAAGGGGCGCCAGAGTTGCTTCAACTCAGCGAGGGAGGGGCAACTGCCCCTAGTTGCCCCCTCCCCTAAATCCGCAACTGAGCAGACTCTAAACCTCGTATCGTAGCGTAAAAGGATTGTTTGAGACAATGTCCTAGAGACAATAAGGGGCAATGTTCCCCCTCCGTTCCAGTGACTTTTATTATCTGGTTGCTTTACAATGGGCGAAAAATTGAAATAGCTATTCAGCCACCCCAGTAGTAGAACAACATTTTCAACAAACCTTTTAAACCGGAGAGAAGTTGCAGGTTCTTGCAAGAATCCCAAGCTAGTATGGTGGGGTTCTACCATTGGGGATTCAAGATGTCGCTGACATGAAAAAGTGCCGACACAACTTTACCCTCGTAGCTTTACTGTCAATAGTGGTACTTTTAAAAAGGCAAATTTCTTGAAGCCGAGTTGTAGTGGCTCCCTATATTTGTGGGTAGATTCAGTGGCCTACGACAAAGACCCGAACAAGCAAAGAAAAGAGTGGTGATAAAGTCTACTGCACAAGGGTGAACAAACTTCTCTTTCGTTGACTTATGATGCCAATAAAGTTGCATGTTTGGTAGTTTCTCTTCGAACGTTCGTCGGAAATGTGAAGGGTTTCTACGCAATGAATAGGCTCAAACCCGACAAACCTTCAAGGGCGTAAACGCTGCCCCCTTTTCGACCCCCCATTCGCAATGCCTAACTATGTCCTTTCTGTTGCGTAAGTTATCGTGCCTTCTAGCAGAACGAGGTTGAGACTTGGCAGTGAGGTTACAATCTCCTCAGTGACGAAATGAGAATGAAAATTTAGAAACGTGTCTGTACGGGAAAAAAGACCATTGAAACTTGAGAATTTCGAGGATTACCTTGATTGAAATTCAAGACATCATCCTCTGAGGATGCAGAAGAAGAGCTTAAAATAAAAGTTAAAACTTTGAAAGTCGGGCAAAAATTTAGCTTTAGAGACGCTTGGATTTACGCTGACAATCTTCAAAGATGAAATTTGAAAAATTTCATTTCAGATGAGATATAAATAATTTTTATATAAGAAACGTAAATTGAGGCTCGGGCTAGCTTTTCTAAATTTTTGTCAAAACTTTAAAACTGGATTGTTTTTCAATTTTAGAGCAATTCAGACCGGAGACAATTTTTTTCAAAATAGATAAAAAATAAAAAACAATGGATGTCTACATTGCAGGATTTGTTTTTTATCTCTTACAGATATTTTATGGGGAAATTTTATTACAGATAAACGTCCTTTATAATAATTCATCTTACACAATTGAAAACAGTTTTTTTGATAGCTGTCGCAAGCAAATTTAGTTAGAAATCACCGTACTTTGTTCGTAATTTTTGACCAATTTTTGTCCACGTGTTCTAACATTAAAGCTTGTGTACCCAGGCTAATCGCAAATAGACCAATTCGACTTACGGCCTCATTTTGAAAAAATTTTCAAATTATTTTGTACAAAATTTTTGACCTCAGATTCGGATTGCGAGCAATGATTTTAGTATACTTCGAAGTTTTCATTATGGTATTGCTCACGATATTGATTTTATGACGACAAAAAGATAAAAATTTTATAAGGGATTTGACCGTGATTGGCGACTAGGGGGTAAAGTTTCCCCCCGGAACGATTTTTGCGGTCAAATCCCTAAAAAGTTTTCAAACTTCATTTCTCCGTAAAATCTAAAATACAAGCACAAACAATATGAAAAATTGTATCCGGCCTAAAATTGTGGTGATAAAACCAAATCTGAGTTTTAGAAAGTTGTATAATTAGATTAGGATAAATTTTCAAAACGAGGCCGTAAGTCGAATTGGTGTATACCATCAAAAACTTCCGTCGTTGCTTATGATTGGTTGTGGGGTAAGTGCGACAAATCGCAAACCTGGTCACGTGTAAAATTAGAACAGTCTGTGTCCGCTTCTATGCAATTTTCAGTCTGGACAGGATATTCCCGTGCTAGGTGTTTCCGTTCTTGAATCGACCAATTTCCGATATTGTTTGGACGCCACACGAATTGAATAATTTACTTCATTAATTTCTCAATAATATTAAATAAACTTATCCTTGTGAAACTAATTATAAGGGAAGTTTTTCCGTTAAGTCATTACCTCATCAACTTATGACGTAATAAACTGCGCTTCGATATCGGAAATGGCCTCACTTGGAAGCAGTCAGCAACGGGAAAAGACATGCTGTGAGAGCGTTGCAACAATATTTCAACAAAAAAACAAACATCTGGATCGCCTCAAAGACCATGATCAACTGTTCCATTGAGAATTCTAAATGCCAAGATAAATAAAATATCTGGAAATTAAATATTTGTCCAGATCTCAATTATGCTTAAGGATGTTTTGAAAGCATGTCTTGCGATGCAGTGAAATTCGAAAATTATTTCAAATCGTTTTGAGTGTCTTTCTTGAAACAATATTATTGACAGCTGATCCATTTAAATAATTCCCGACACCTTGTGCAAAACAAAGATAAACGCGTGGAAACTGTTAACTCTGACAGCAGAAAGCTTGACAGCAAAGATTTGTGAGCATGGCCTTTTTACGAAATAGGCAAGGAACTGAGAAGCTCCCAACAATAGGATTGGATGAAAAAGACTTCATTCAGGCTGGCATTCGTTATAATCTGGTTTTTCTTGGTTCAATGTTAGTGCCAACTCCTACAGGACACGGCAGCAGCAGGACAGCAAATGCCGTCGAGAAAGTCTACAATGAAAAATACAAAGCGTTCGGATATGGTTCTAGAAAAGTCTATCTCGAAATTTCCGTGGATGATTTGAAGATAATAGAAACCAATGGTGGAAATCAGACAGTCGTTGCCAAGTTCCAGACAAACAGCCTGACCTATTTTAACACTGATTTGAAGTACGACAAAGCCTTTGTTTTTGTTGTCTCCGACGAGAAAGACAAAAGTTACAGGGCCTATGTTTTTCATTGTGAAAGTAGGGCCCGCGCTAGAGAAGTAGTAATCAAAGTCAAAGAGGCTTTTCTAACGAGACAAAATAAAGCAGAGGAAATGAGGCTTAGAAGTTTCTCTGCGCCCTGCAGAGATTTGGCGAAACCGAGAGGACAGTTTGATAGTGGCCTAGCCCGTCACAAGGAAGATGAGTGGGGCGTTTTCAAAGGGGGTACTTCAAACGACTTTCCAAGTGACATCGAGGAGAACCATCTCTTAAATGCAAGACAGAGGAGTCAAACTGAGATTCATAACGTGAACAACCTTTTGTTAAGTGGACTGGAAAGTCGGAGTAAAAACAATGGTGTCCCAGAAGAGGTGACTTCCCATCCAAATAGTTCCACACAGGTAGGACTTGATGAGGCTGATGAATTTACTGAGCTGGCAGAAAAAAGGCTAAGAAGTTTTGATGACAAGGCTTTACCTAATTCTGGAGAGAGCTTTCTTCTTTTGGATACCAGGCAGACACAGCCTTCATCTGGTTTTCTTCAAAGCCAAAATGTCAATTCAAATAAACATGAAATGGAAAATGAAAATCTCTTGCAGTTCTAAAAATAGATTGTTAAGTTAAAGTTTAGATCTGAATGATTTCAGTACTTAAAAGATCCTGAAACCTTTATAAGCATGTTATTGATAGAAATATATGGTTTAAAAGGGGCCATCCTGAAATAGGGCAATTTCATCCATATTTGAATTCCAAGCCAATATTGCAGATAGGGATGTGTGTTTTTGTTTTATAAGTTGCTACTTGACATTTGTTTACAAAATTGCAGTGCAGCATCATGTTTACCATTTTCACCAAACTGCTGTTTAAAAGACAAATTTTGAATATCTTGTTAATTCTAATAACAAATACTGAAAGATGTTTTAATGGTATTATTTAAAGGATAATTTGCTTTTCTTATTAGAATTCAATGCAGTTACCAACACAAGGTTTATAAACCAAAATTTTTGTAATGACCAACACAAAACCAGGCCTTTTTGTTGCAAGTTTTTTTCATATTATATAATTGCTTTTCAAAGGTAAAGAGTTTGAAGTATATTGAAGTTATCAAAATGTTGTTAACACACAATACAGTGTTTTGCTAAAATGTTCATATATCTTTTGTTTCTTTTTCATAAAGGAAATTACTACCACACTTCTTAAAATTAATTTACCATTTCAAACTTAATTGATCCTTTAATATTCCTAACATAACCAACAACGATTAACATCTTTCATTGAGTTTGGTGACCAAACTTACAGGATGATCACCATCAAAATTAATAAAAACATTTTTGCCAACAGCATTTGATCCATCATCAAGTCATGACCCAGTGAAATCAAAAGTTTTTGGCAGAATAACTCATTGTACTACAGATCTTTTAAACACATTCAAAAGATCACAAAACAAAACAATACTCAATTTGGCTCAAACCCCTTGATGTTTAATCTACATTTTCCATATCAAACCAAAACATTTTCCCACATTATATTTGCATTCACTATTTTAGTTATCTTTTTTGACTTTATAAAATTTATAGCATACACAGCACTGACATTGCAACGTTCATTCTGGCTACAATTCTGGCTACAATTCTGTAAATATTTGTTTTATACCAAAGGTTGAAAATTTTCCAACTGCCAACTGTAGGTTGAAGAATCTTTCTAAACAATTGTGTTGTTGAAATGGAATGTTTTTGATGGGGTTGACCTTCTAAAGTTGCAGAACAGCCTACCCTGCTTGGTATACCCAAAGGATAATATTGACACAAGCATCATAAATGTGCAATGATTCTAACTGATTCTCTGGTAATTAAATTCAATTCCTTAGATACTACACATTCAGCATTAGTTGTTAAATTTGCAAATCTGATTTAAACAATTTCTGTTATATTTTAAAAAACCTGACCTCTGGCCATGCAATATGTATTGCTAAAAATTGCTTTGTTGCTGTAAGCTTCAGAGAAAATGTTGAAAACATGTGTATAATTTTGGTGGTTGGTTAGATATCAAAGGCTTTAGTTAAATAATATATTATTTGAAATTATTGTAGAAATTCAGAGCATGAATAGAGAACTTTTGTAACTTTCATGTTTAAAGATGATTCTTGTTATAGAAAAATTCTACTGAAAAAGTGTAATTTTGTTTTTCTTCTCTCACAACAAATATACTTTAGGCAAATTTCAATATTTACCATAACTGCATTCCAAGCATTAACTTCAACTGGACTTACTCGTTTACCTTGTTCTCTAAATCCTTCATAAATTCGAACTCCTCCTTTGTCAATGGTTGCACTGAGAGTCTTGCCTTTGTAAATAATGCTACGCTTTTCAGTGGGCCACTTTGCTCTTTATGTTCAAGGTGCAATCCTTTAAGTTCATGGAGAGGTATAAATCGCTTCATTTTTCTCAGAAACTTCACATCTACCATAAACCATTTTGGGTTTTCTTTTGTAGACTTAGGGTCATAATAAGCAGACTTCTTATCAAATTGGGTGTGATCCACATAACCTTCTTTGACTATTTTCACTATTCCAGCAATTCCAGGTGGTTTACAATTGCTGAAATGTTTAAAGATTCTGGCATTAGATATATTAACAGAATAGAAAATTAAATACATAAAAACATATGCAAGTTGTAGTATGATTGATTGAAAGTAAACCTGTGTCAACTTCTATGTATGGTAACTGCTGAGATGTTTAAGGATTTTGCTAGAATGTAAAAAGTTAGAAAAACCAAATATATAAAGACATCACATAAAAGTTTTAACATAGTTGATTACAGTTAAAAATATAATCATCTATGGTACAATCAGCGGCATAGATGATGGGGGTCAGATGGGGCAAAAAAACTTATAAAGCTCAAATGTTATTTTGTTGGAAAATTTCTGATCTTGATCCCAACTGTCAAATTGTCATTTTTATCTAAGTGTTAGATTTTAAGGGGAAATGTTGTTTCATTTTGATGTTTTTCTTAATCAGATCTCTTTCAGTTATGGTACTTGAAAATGCCTTATAAAGGAGAAGTTCAGAAAAATCTTCCAGTAGTATTTATTTATGACAGTATCCCTTAAAAAACGATAACAGCTTATCTCAGTATCTATTTATTTCAATATCAATGTTGTTATGTTTTGCTCAAAGATAGGAGAAAATAACATGCCTATTAGATTTTCATTGGAAAATCTAAATTTCTTGTCCCTTCTATGAATTTTCCTATTTCTGCCACTTGGCACAAAGTAGTTGTGGCAGGGTCTGATGAAAAATTAACACAAAGTAATACTCTTAATAGGATACAGTGGTTTTCCCCTCAATAAGGAGGGGGGGAATTTGTTCATAGCAATCACACATTAAATCTTGTTCAAAAATCTTTTCTTCTTCAAATCACAAGAAGATAATGCACTTTGTTACTCTTGTAGCACCTTCAAATCAGGTCATTGTGAGCAATTGCTGGTCTCATTATAAAATAAAGAGTAAAGAATCCATGTGGGCATAGTGAATGTTTCACATGTAGGGGGCTTGGTATTGATCTTGCCTGAATATTACTGAATATACCAATCTAGCCTCAATGAAACAGAACTGACAAAATGTGTTAGGAATTCAGTCAACATGCTGCCTAAATCCTTTCCTGATTGGGAAAACTTTTTTATTATCAAAATGCTCTGAAATTTGGTTGTATGATATTGAAGACAGATATTATGCCTTTGCAGACAGAAAATTTAACTCCCGAGCACATAAGCCAAACCTTCCAGATAGTTTATGCTCAACAGTTGTTATGGGGTTTTAATGAAATGACCCTATTATTGGACAGGAATATGTCCAGCAAAACAAGAAAATCCTTGAAGAGCTATTGGGAGTAGTTTAAATTGATTTTAAAACATTCTGAATTTCTTTCTCCAATAGCAGCTGCAGACGTCTTGGGGAAAAGCATAAGAAACCGACCCTAGCTAGAGGCTGCCTAAGAAAAGAACATCTCAGAAAATGTTGTTTTAAAGAAAAAACTAATAGTAAACAGGGCATTTACGCAAAAATGAGGGCACATATCTCTGGTTCCCTGGGTTCCAAAGTCCTTATCAACAGCTCAGAATGTTACTGGCAAAACTTCAGCAGGTGTTATATTTGAAGACAATGTGGCTTGACAAGTCCCGGTCTAGTTGTGGCCAAACCACCTTCTGGTAGAAGCTGCAAAAATTTCAATCCTTAAAAACTTAGGAAAGTTTCTAGGCCTGTGTTTTCCTTTCAAGTCGGAACAGCTCAAAAGTGCAACACATGGAAAGTGTGACCCTTTTTTGCCTAAATCTTGGTTCTCCTCAGATTTTTCTTCAATTATCACTGTCTAAAACCAAGCTGGGCATGATCAAGTGGAATGCAAACAAAACTAAATCTTCTTTGTACTTGGCTTCAGTTATGATAAATATAAAACATAGGAAACAAGAGCTTGTTTCCTTGGGTGCCCCTGTGACCATACTGAGCTGCACTTACAGTGTTGATTTGGAAAGCTGAGTTTGTTACCATGAAAACCAAGTTGCACATTTCTTCGCTTGATGTGCCAAGTAAACGTGCTTCCAAGCAAAATCGAACATTTCATAAAATCTTGGCCCATTGATTGAAATAAAAATTAAGTTAGCTGATCCATAGTGGTTAATGTAGCACTGAAAATAGTTTGCCTACCTATGATAAAAGAATGCAAGATCTCCTTCTTTCATCTGATCTCTCATAAAATTTCTTGCCTGATAGTTGCGAACTCCATCCCAACATGCAGTTTGGTCTGGTTCATTTATCAAGTCATCAATGCCAAACTTGACATCAACCCCATTTTCCATACGAGTGTCGGGTTCAGACTTCATAAGCCAGAACCTTTCTGTTTCTTGCGAAGCCTCATCTCTCTCAACTTCTTTCGCATCTTTAGCACTGGTTTTTGGCTTCTTTTTAGGGGGCATTTGCCTCTTTTTCTTAGATATTTAAAAAAATCGAGATAAACTTCTGGTCTTCCAGTGCCCGTGCTTACTGCCTATCTCTCTATCTGAATTTTCCCGCCAGTATTTCCAGCCTCCATTGCAAGAAAAACCTCGACCTCAATGTAGTGCTCCTCCCTCATTTCTTTCTTGATCCAGTTAATATTCATTGCGTTTTCAAAACAATTTCGAAAAAGATTTCAAGCTAACTGAAAATGAAGTCGAGACCAAAGATTCTTTAATGTACCTTTTTTGAGTAATCACCCTCACTCAGTCCGAATATCTGAAAAATGCGAAGGGCTGCCAACACTCCCGGTTTGGCCAGGAGCCTCTGATTTCAGCCAGTCTCATCAGCTTTCTTGGTCGGTACCTTATCTACATCTCCCGATTTCTAAACATTTCCTGAATTTTTCCCTGTTTCCTCGCAGTTTTGAGACCTTTTGAAAGTTGGTTTGGTAGTAATAAGATAATTTGTTAATTCTTGCAGAAACGATACTATTTTTTCAAAAGAAAATTCATAATTTATTCCTTCTGTGGTCCGAAGGAAGGCTCCAAACGGAAAGGAAGGCAGAATGATTTGAGTTGTTTTGTGTCCAGCAGTACCAATGCATTTTAAAACACATATGTGTGCGCTGGTTAGCATTCGAAAGATGTATGGAAAGGATCCTGAAGTCCGCGTCCTAAATCCTATTTCCTGAATGAAAACTGGGGAAAGATTTAAGTTTTACTAGATTACTTGGATATTAAAGCAAGTCATTGCTAAAGCCTTCACTTTCATTCCGAATATCAGCAGTTTCTTACATACTTTGATTTGTTGCTCCAAAGGGATTTGCCTCAGCCTACAATTGAAGTCACACAGCCTACAACTGTTCCGCAGAACACTTTTACCTTTACGAAGTTAGATTTGGGAAAAAAACTATATTTACAAGGACTCTCAAAACTACATTTCTAGTTTTACAACAAATTGTGTATTGAACACCTAAATGATGTATCAGTTACCAAGAGGATTTCAACAATGTCTTTTAATGTTGCCCACAGTCGCTACAGATCTGCAATGGATTATATTCAAGCGAAGTTTCCCTTGGATGATGAGGCGGAGTGATGTTTGCATGCGTCCAAAATTTGGAATGTGCACCATACATTTTCTTGTGATTTTGATATTCTTAGTACTGAATTGATATTCTTCGATGGCATTCGAATCAAATAGAGATTCCTGGATCAAATTCAAGGACATTTGGTTCTGGTACCCAGTGGTGGCGCAATTACCCACCCCTCCCATTAGAAAGCGGTAAGTAAGGGTAGATCATACTTTCCCCTAAGGGAAATTGACCTAAAACCAAGCACTAAAACGAGGCAAAAGGGGCTTAGTCTTTTTCAGCCACGCCCATTACCCTCCCACTTAGTAGCAACTGGTACCAACTCAGAGCACGGTCTTAATATCTTCAGCAGTTTGATTTTGCGTCATTAAAACTGCAGAGATCAATTTATCTCAAACGCTCCTGCTTACATTTAGGCTCTGAAAGGATAAAATCTTAAAAATGAAGCAAGAAATGAAACATTTGAAGTATCTTTAATGCTACTGAAAATGTTCGTTAATATTTTGTTTCTGAAGTTTAAACTTGACTACAAAATACTTCATTTCACTAAGACCTACCAAGGTTCTCAACAGACTTTGACTTGAGACTTTTGTGACAATTTCATGTAAATTAAGTGCTATGTTAGCTGCGTGTGTATTTCAGGAATGCATTTTCCAGTCCGTGTTTCATGCAAGGAAGCTCTACAGTTGTAGAGTATAGGAATCTGATCTTGTTGCAAAAAATGCTCTCCTCCATGATCACCTGCAATTCGTGGACCAGCCTTTGAATAAAGAACCCTTGCAATGCTACAGTAACTAGCTTTGGGCTATGTCTTGCCATATTGATTAATGCGTCCTTCAAACTCTCGTCTCGATTCGCGTGGTAGTAGTTTATGCTTACATTTTCAATGTCTTTGCAATTTCGTCTTATTTCTCTCAGAATTTCTGATGTACCCAGTGTCTCATGTCCGGCAAAGGATATTTGACGCAACTTCGGCATGTTTCGAAGGAAATTTCGAAAACATTTAGATTCGACTGGCGTAAGACTAATGTCTAAGTACTGCATGTTGAGACAAAGGCAAAGCAACGCGCTAACGCAAGATGGGTTCAAAGGGTATCGCCGGCGCAATTCAAATATTTCTATACTTGATGAAACAGCTCCCATCTGATTAAGTACATCATCGGTTAATGCGGTGCGTAGATATTTGATTTTCTTTAGATTTGGTAAAATTGCCATAAAGCCTTCTTCATCAAGTCCGTAACAATGAGAGATGTCAAGCTCTTCCAATGCAGTTTCTTCCCAGTCAAGACCTCTGACTGTGATGTCGGTAAGCCTAACGAAAAAGATTAGCGAAATATTAAAAATTCATTTATTCTATATTCATAGCAGGGCATTTTTTAACATATAAAGTGGTGGGGAAATTCCCCACCAGCCCCTTTCATTGCCCCACCAGTGGAATATGTTTGCCCCACCACTTAAGTGCCCTTATGATTCGGTGACTTTTTACTTTTTACTTTATTTGAGATATTTGTGGAGGAAATCTTCATTGAACAGGTTTCAAATCTCAATTCATTTTTCCCTGGAACTGCTGCTTCTATATGTGATTCCTTTTCTAATTCACAAAGTCTATTTTTGAAAGCCTGTTTATCTATAAATTCTTCCTTTATCTATATGCCCTTTTCTCAAATGCCCCACCAGTGGAAAATTCTTAAAAAATGCCCTGATTCATAGTGATCTTATTCAAATAGTGATCTCATTCTATATTCAAAAAGTCATAGTGATCTATAAAATATTCAATATTAGCTACCTTTTTTAAACGCAGGCTAGAAATGCATAGTCCAAAAGACATTAAAGGACCAAAGGACTTGTGTCCCAATCGTTTTGTATGTATTTTGTTTTGCATTTTGAGAAAGTTGCTACATTGATAAACCTCCATATTCATCCGAGCAACAGATCCTTGATTAAATTCATGTGGCTACATATCGTATTTATTTGAATATAAGGCGCGGCTTATAATTATTGGCAGGATGAATTTTGTATTTCGCCTAAATTCGATGAGAAGTATTAGGGGAGGGACAATATTTTGTCAGCGTACTTTCAGTGATGTAATCCTTTGATTTTCAAACTGCCTTTACATAACCAAAAGTTAGCCATTTCATTGGTGTTTCCTTCAAGTAAAATTGGCGTTCTTGTTAGTAAAAGGGCGTTTTCTGGTGCTAAAGAGGGCGTGGCCTAAACCTGGAGCGTAGTGGCTGGCGCCGCCATCGCGGCGGCCGGCTTGCATTGTTTTACCGAAGTGTTGCCAAGCTTTCCTGCCACTTTGATACTGTAAAAGGTGAGAAAGAAATACTTCTGGACGATATTGATGATCCGTTATCTGGACGATATTGTTGTTGGTTGAACTTCTACCGTTTATTTTTTGGTTTATGTGCATAATCAGGCTTTAATCCGTTTTATCATTTTAAACAAAGTATCTCTGCATGGTTTTGGGTGGTGGGGTTTATAGTCAAGGGCAACTTATAAATAAAGGTGGGGTGGCTTATAATCGAGTAAATACGGTTTTGGGAAACGTAAACCTTTTAGAGTAAGCTAGGGTAAACCAGACTCTTTATTTCCCAATATTGTCAAATTGTCTCGCTTAACACACAGTCAAATGAGTGACAAATTTTCTCAAGGTGACAAATTACCTTGTTCTTTGCAGATTCAGAGATCTCAGTTTTTTGCAACCAGAAAGCAGGTATTGGAGGTATTTTCCAGTGAAATTTAGGCATCTCATTGCAGAGAGAAATTCCAAATGTATGCATGATTTTGAAATGTGAAGCATCAGACGATCGTCGAACCATGCGCACTCCTTGCAATCGAGCACACGCAAAAGTGGCATTCCTGAAGCAAGTTTCTTTTGGGTGAGTGATGACGTCATTTGAGGCAGACCTGTTGAGAAGTATCAAAGAAAGTCTCGCTACCTGCATGCTTACACAGGATCATTTGAATACCGAACTGCAGAATACGTCAAATGAGCCACAAACTAAAACTTTGGAGGCAAAGCAAACGTATATGCTAAAGAAAATTTCTTTTAGAAAGGAAATTTCCTATAAAATCTTACAAACAGGCTAGCTACAGAACACAATTTGGAAAATTGGCTTGAATCATTCTAAAATAGCACAAAAATGATGGTAAGTGACTGATGTGGTCCCATATATAAATGAAACATATAGAAGCTGTTTTGAGTCCCATGTTCAAGGGAAAGACCATCATCGGAATGCCTGGTGGAGAAAACTTCTTTCGTTTTGGCATTTAGCATAGACAGCTTGTTTTGAACAATAGTCTGCAATATGTACAAAATTGGTTATCGTTAACAATGTCACTAATGTTTAGAAATGTTGAGCCACGAAAAAATAATGCAGCTAGTAAAAGGGACTCACCAAATGCTTCCAGTCCCTGTCCTTCGTAAAAGATGTATTCTTCAAGGAGATTGATGTTACCGTATGTTCCTTGCAAATCAAGAAATTTGACAGCGCATCTCATTTCATTTATGTCTGGTTCTCTCTGTGATGGTGGATCGGATTCTTCGCTAGAATTTCGAACTCTCGATTCTTTTAGACTGATAGCCTTCAGATTTTCACTTCTCAAAGCAGACTTTAAAAGTTCAAATGGTACATGGGTGCTAGTTATTTTGATGACGCGCAGCTGACGCAATATTACCGATTTGGCTGCTCCAGTGAGAAACGCATTTGAGCGATTCGAAAAATCGCAGTATCGCCATAAACATGGGTCCATCGACAAAAAACGCAAACGTTTCGACACAAGTTGAATTGTCAATAATTCCGATTGTTGCAGATAGGAAAGGATTTGCAGAATGATGGCATCGGGCAAACTCTCGAAAGCCGTAGAAATACATACATGGTCCATCATTACGACAGTCTTGTTGTCCTTGTTCGTGCGACAACAAGCGAAACTACAATAGTAGTCTGTCGTAACGGGAGCGATAGCTACTTTGCGACACTGAAATGAATGTGGGTTATGCAAATGATTTCAGTACATTTATATAAGTTGTTATGATTGTGACGTAATATTGGTGATCCTATTTCACCTGTCTTTTGAGTCCTCAGGCACCGCGGAGCAAGGGGGCTGGAGGGCTATACCTCCACTCACTTCTTGTCCAAAATGTAATTGACGTTCACCACCATTCATGCCTCTTCATATTGGGTCCCCCCCCCAACTTTTCTCAACGCTCTGCAGTGCCTGCTACTGGTGTTAACAACAGACGCAAGAGGGTTGGTGTTACTGGAAAGGTAGTGGCGAGTGGACTTGAACAGGGGCAAGTCTAGTCAGATATTTTGCGTCTATTCGGATGGACCATGCAGCAAAAACACGCTTTCTAAAAGAATTTTATTCACCAGCTGTTTAAGAACAGATTTCAATCCTCTTTTTAGCGACAAAAATTTTTGTCAACGATTTTAGCTTCTTATTTTATAGATGAACACAGCATTTTAACTACATTACTGTCAATCCACGTTTGCAAGAACTCACATAATGGAAGATAAACACGGTCAGATTCTTATAAAGAACTTACTTGGGTCAACTTCAGCGTGTAAGTGCTCGTATTAGAAGGATGCTTGAACACATAGGTCTAGAGAAATTTGAGAACTATGTATTTTAGAACTCAATTTGCAATTTTTAAAGTTTAAGTTCTACTGAGTGAAGCAATCTTAAATCACATGGTTGCACAACTTTAGACGAAGGATGCGCATCAATTTACAGCATACAGAGCTGACGCTTTTTGCCTGCATGTGTCTTCCACTTAGCCATGCCAAAGCAGGATATAATGCCTGGATATAATAGGTGCGAGGATGGCTCAGTTGTTAGAGGCGCTGACTACAGACCCAAGGGCCCGTGGTTCGAGGCCCTGGCATGACCAAACTTTCACCCAGAGTGGGGAGAGCTCTCTGTATTTCCAGGCGTAGGAATCACGAGGTGTGGTCACATCGCGAGGAAGGACCAGGACACTGCTCGATAAGCATAGCTTCTCAGTGTCCTAAAAACTACCTTCGGATGCTAGGTAGCAACAAATACAAAATACAAAATACCTTTTACCCTACCACCCCACTAGACCAAGTTCTCAGATAAGATAAAGATAAGATAAGGATATTTATACAGATAAGGCTCTTCACCACTATTGATTTGATATTGCCATTTGACAGCTTACCAGATCACAATCAAGATAGCTTTACAACGTTATTGATAAAATTTGTTTGTTTCATTGCTTGTATGGAAGGGGACACTCTCCTGATAAGCTAACTCTCTTTGAGAGTAACTGGTACCATAAACAATTATGACTGATACTTTTACTTTAGTTTTTGTAGTTTTATAGTATTTGCAAGTAAAGTATTTTGTATATTGATCTTTTAGTTCATTTTTTAACCTGTACTGTTTGTTTTTAGTTCAAACAACTATGGTTTGAGAATTAAATTCAACCTTTTGTTAAGTTCCAGCAGCCACATCACAAAGTGAATGGTCTAACCCTTGGAAAAAGCATGAATTTCAGGGGCAGTAGTACTTGAGAACTGGTTTCTTCCATGCAAAAAATAATAGGTCTGTAGCTAATGAAACAGTTACCCTGATGAATTTGTCAGGCATCACCTCTGATGTGAGAATTTTCCAAGTCCCTGACCAAAAATAGCAAAACTATACTAAAATTATCTTTGTGATTGGCTTTCACTTTTTGGAGATTAAGATTGTGGATTAAAAATCTTTGTGCCCTCTATATCAGATGATTTCGGGGATTCAAGCCCACCACCTTCAGCAAACTATTATGACCATTATTGTCAAAAGTAAGTGATAAAAGGTCTTGGAATTTTAAAAAAACTTGTCTAGAGGCTAAAGAAATTAGGAGAATATCCTTGAATAGCAGAGGTCAATTTGTGATATAATTTGGAATAGTAGGACTTTGTAAATCTTTATAGCTGGTTTTAATATCCATCAACCAAAATTATCAAAGCTAATCTAGATGGCCTAATTATAACACTGGTATCAACCATAGATGTAGGAGCTAGTTTCTTGGGGGGGGGGGGCATGCGCCATCTTTCCAATTTTCGCAAACAAAGACAAAATTCCTATTAGCAGCTCATTTAGAAGCCTTTTTGGCTGCATGTGCCCCCAACTTTTGTAATGTTGTTATCTGTATCCGGTAAAGAAACCTGAATTAATTAAAAAGTTTATCTGACAAGATCATGTGCCCACAAACCGAAAAAAATTTACTTTGCATGTGCACTAGCAGATTACTGCATCTAAATAACAAATTACAAAATGAAGCTTTTTTTCAATTGGCATTCATGTACCCAACACCAAAGGCACATTGACAGCTGTTGCACAGCTGCAGAGAGCCATGATGCGCCCAGAGGCCAGCCAAAATCTAGGGGATCTTTCTGCCCAACAAAATAAACTTTCAATTTTGCTTAAAGTCCATTCGATATACGAGAGTGTAAATCTGGAATGACCTATCAGCTGACATTCAAGACTCTACCTTAAGATTTATATTCAAAAATAATCTAAAACATCACATGCTAAATGCTATGTGAATGCCTAAATGAAATTTGAGCTTGATAAATTTAACAAATTTTATTATTTAAGCTAGCAATTTGGCTTTGCCTTTGTGTTTATGGTTCTGAAAGATGACAGAGGGGGCTCATATGTTGTTAGTTTACCTACTTTGAGAGCTCCTCCTCCTTAAGAATTCTACTACACCTAGCTGCATTGTGTTGTTGTTTTTTTTCTATATTATTATTATCAGTATTTTGATAACAATTGCTATTGTAGTATAATTTGAATATCAAATTAAATCAATCAATCAATCAATCGATCAACCTTAAATATGCTTATTATGGATTTAAAATGCACATAATTTTCATTTACTTTTGATTCATTTTTGCAAAGCATTGTTAAACTTTCCCAGCATTGATATGATTTCACTATGTTATTTTTCTTAAAATCACTATGATATTAAGTGTAACATTCTAAATAGAGATGTTCTAATCACCAAGTGGCCCTCTTTGCTTACAGAATCCAGGCATTTGCCCCCTTCCCTCCCTTTCTCGGCTGACCTGCGCAGAACAGTGTTTGGTTTTGATGGACATTCGCTAGACAAAAAAACAGGGAATGATCAAACACACTTCATACCTGTAGTTATTTTGAAGAAATGTTGGTATAATGGGCTACAGTTACTTGCAGTAACACATTTAATCTAATATTACTGCCTGCATTGTCTTTAAATTAAAAAATTCAAGTATCTTCAAGGTCTTTTAATTTTCTTTTAGGCAAAAATAAAGTAATGCACCAACGATGGCAACTGTGACCAAGATTCTTGACGTAGACACCAAAAAAGCTCTCTGACCCCCACCACTACTCTCGTACTCTATGTCAACGAAGGCAGCATTCTGTATACCAAGATTCTCTAGCACCATTCTTCCGAAATAATAACAATTAGTCGCGTGCTTTTTTGTATCAATGGCTGTTTTTATAATTTCCCGCGCACTGATACACAGATTTCCACAAAATCTCAGAGACAGTATCTCATCTCGATCAAGAACCCTAGCCGATATGAAATACCGTTGGCTGTCGACATTTGCTGAATTAACAGCCAGTGAAAATGCAACATACACATCGTACGAGTACCCAAATACCACGCCAACATGGGGTGCACTGTTTTGGTAAGTGATCGTGTATACACGACAATCAGCAGTTTCATCTAGACGTGGAATCAATCCATCTTGTGATAACTTCTCGTAACATTCCATTAAATTTTCCCTTTTGCTTTGACAACTGTCTCCAAACTTTGGACAACACGGACCGAATGGGATTTGGCTTTCTAGCGCCATGTTGACTATATTCCACTGACTTTCACAATGGGCACAATGCCCTCGCTTTCATAGCAGAGCAAGTTTTGTTTCCAAGAAATAAAAAGCGCTTCCTCTTTGAGGAAGTCAAATGACTTTATTATGACAACATGACTAGCACAATCTTGCGCTATTCATTGGTTTACAAAAACAATAGTATTAGACTATCAAAATAATGGTAAGATAAGGTAGTAACAAACAAGAAAAAATATATCGAAATCAACTCGTTACAGGGCAATGATAATGTGCATGCCTATTTGATCGTTATTCCAACATCCATACACATCCACATCATTATTTTATGATGGATTATTTCAACGGTAATCATCTCAAACTAACAACATACTTGCGAATTACCTGCTGCGAAATACCTTGATGGGAGCACTAGCCCACTAGCAGTAGCTTGCTGGCATCGCGGAGCGTTGAGAAAAGTGGGGGGTCTAAAAAAGTGGGGGGGGGGCTAAAACCGTATAAAAGGCTTTTCTGGTAGTTTTGATAACTCAATTATTTGGCAATTTTTTGCTAAAAAGTTGGGGGGCTAAAGCCCCAGCCCCCAGCCCCCAGCCCCCCTGCCCCCCTGATCTGCGGTGCCTGGGCTAGCCACGGTGGTAAGATTGGAGGGGAGAAAACTCGAGTTGAGCAAGGGCAAACTGGGGTCCACACCCTTTTGAAAGCCAGAAAACGTCATTTTTCAAAGATGTAAATTGGTTTCTAAATACGGCAGGCTCCGAGCTAAATGTTCGGCAAAACTTCAGAATGACACAACAAATAAACACAGATATAGTCTTCTCAAACGTATATCGTTGTACGACTTGTACCATTAAGCCTTTCACAAGAGCGAAGTGTACGTGCTCACAATGCTAGCTCTAACTCTTAACTAACTCAGGATTCGTAGAGAACGATATATATATGTTAAACTAGTTCCTTGTACAAATAAAAGATGTAAATGTGCTAATCTTAGGTGTCTACATAAGAGGAAAAACAAGCTAGAAAAACAATAGGAATGTGTCTAGATACGTATGTATTAGCTGAGTCAATCCATAGTGTAGTTCTTAAAATAATACTATAATAGAGGGTGGGTTTCCTTAGTGAAAGTGTTCCTACTAGTATACGCAATGCAACAAAGAGTGCGATGCAAGTTGACGCAAAAGAGTATGCACAAACAAGTATGACTACCGCTGGGAGAGTGGATGAATGGGGCGAAGTAAATGCGCAAACAAGAGCGCTTGGAGTAGCGGTATAACAAAGAGATCTGTGCCATTGAATGGGGGGGGGGGGGCTCAACCAGTCAGTCCCCAATCGCGAATTCGTTGATGGATTTTATTAAACACTAATCTGTCGACAAAACAAATGCGCAAACAGTACTAAAGAAACTCTTATTGATTTGAGATCCGTAAATAGAATAACCGTTTAAAAAATTTATTTTCATGATTCGTGTAAACTGTAAAACTGGCAAAAATTGCTTCAAAACTTTAATCTTTATTTATATAATTCAGGATACCGCACATTGGTCTCTCCAGTCCTAAGAGAAAGCTTAAATCAACTGGGCCAAAAACATTCCATTTTACAGACATTACAGAAAGCTCAACCGTGTCGGCACCCACTGCCAATATGCATGGACGGATTTAGCGGGGGGCGGGGGGCGTAGGGGATGCGACACCCAACTCCCAATACTTCTGTGACTTTCGGTAAATTTGGCTTCCATTCGGTAAAAATCATTTTTGGTAGTCGTTAGTAGGTAGAAATATAATAACGCCAAGATTTTACTTTATCTAGCTTCCTATTATCTTTACCTTGAAATTAAAGGACAAGTGACACACTTTTCACCCTATCTTTTCTTTTCATTATCTTAAAGATCATCATTTAGAAGTGAGTTTTTCCTGGTTAAGAACAAAAAAATCTAATCAAGGGGCGCAGGGGGTGCGTTTTTGCTTTTTATCACGTGACCCTATGACGTACATTGTGATAACTCAGAATTTTCCTGTCATTAATAAAGAGTTTACGAAACACGACGCAACAGGTCCAGACGAACTGAATTCGTTTAGAAGCGTGTTGTAAACGTTCATATTGCATTGTATACCAGTAGCAGCAATAACAAATTATCACAATCTACGTCACGGTGTCACGTGATTCATTTCCTGCCATAATTTGAAAAGGGTTTTTAAGTAGGAAAATGAAATCAGAAAGAAAAAATATTTCAACGCCACTCTCATACAGCATTTTACTTTGAGTTAAAAGAAGAAACAAATTTGGCGCCAAAAGCGTGTCACTTGTCCTTTAAAAACCAAATTTTGAAAGTGGGCGTTTCCATTATTTTCCAGTGACCTGAAGAGCTTGGCACCAAAATCCAATTAGTGTCTAGCACATCCCAAGTCATTGTTGTAATATACTATGTGGGATGCGAGCCATGATGCAAGAAATTGTGTGAGTGTGCGAGCGTGTCGTAACACAGGAACAAGAAACAAGATTTGCACATAAATACCGACGACAAACACCGAAGTCGTTTCTTTTACTTCCATCTCCACTACAACGGTCCATCTCATCTCCCATCTATCTTTATGAGAGAAAGAAAAGATAAAAGGGCAACCGATTTAACAAGCCGGGGCAACAAGCCCGGGCCGAGAACTGTTAATTGACGTCAAACCCTTTCTTTCCGTGCAGCAGACCAGAAAAGAAGTAGGATAGCAAAAGTGCATATCCCAATTTTTAGAGTCTCGAAACTTCACTGTGATTTTTCGAATGCATGTAGGTCTGTCTATTTAAAAATCATGTACTTTGTGGGAACAAAATTTTGTGTCAAATGAAGTGGAGGCAGAAATATGGAGGTATGATTTCGGTGAAATCCATTGTGCGAGAAATGGTGCGAATGTCCTAGCCCCCAACCTGTGGCTCATAAATTATCGTTGAAATCTTCGGATGCAGAATTTTGCGTCAGTGCCTCTTTAAAGCAACCAACACTTAGAGACGGGCGTTCCGTTTAGGTAACACTGGCATCCCTTATTGGTAAAAGGGCGTTTGCTGGTGGTAAAAAGGGTGCGGTCTAAAAATTTTCGTTTTGTCCCCTCTAGAGCCTAATGGCTAGCCACTGGTTCTATGAGCATAGATATTAAAGAGTTAGATGAATTTCCCAAGATCCCAAGTGCACTCATTGACAGGTTAAATAACGATAATGGAAACATCTCATTTTAATTTTTAAATTAAACAACAATTACAAATCTCACTATTACAAGGTAATTTGCAATTGGTTAGTCTTTTTCTGTGGCCAGGGACGTCACTTCACTAATTTTTTTTTTGGGGGGGGGGGTGTAAACACTATTGCCCTGCAAATTTTTTCCTGTACAACAAGTATAGAAGTACTGTACTTGTGTAAGTACTGTGCATATATTACATAAGTACATATAATATTTTCAAAAAGCAACACAAACTAACAATCGCAATAAAAAAGTCAATAATTAGTCTACTATCACACTAATCTTCTTAATTGAAATTCTTCTCATTTTTTTTCATGCCATACTTTTAATACTTTATCAAGTGGGATAGTGTCTGTTAGGTCTTTCTCACAAGCAAGTAGAATGAGATCATTCAATCGTTCATCTTTCATCCTTGATCGCAGCAAATTTTTAACAATCTTAAGTTTGCTAAAGGTTCGCTCGTCTTTAGCCACAGACACAGGTGCTGTAAGATGAAGGCTGTAGCATTTGTAAACCGTTGGGAAAAGTCGTCTGTTTTAAAATAAAAATTTGGCAGCCTCTTTGACGGAAGTTGGCTGGAAGTTGGCTGGACGGATGTTGCTGTTTAATCATTGACTATGAAAGCCTGGTGGGAAAAGCTTTCAAAGATCGTTGACTGTTTCTGGGTTTATCGTTTTGAGTGGTGGCTGCAACGCCATTGCCAATGGCCCATTTTTTTTAAGCATGCCTTGATATTTTCACCATACTCTGCTATCAGAGAATCGAGAACAACACACATTTCTGTTCTGTAGAAGGAATTAAATTTAAATTCCGCTGATGTTTCTGGACCGTTGTCAATCGTTCTTGGCTGCAACCTGAGTCGATGTTTTCTACTAAACTCAGCCGCTGAATCTATTCCATGCTGTTTAGCGCACTCGTTTTTAGCATCCAACTCTGCATCCATAGCCTTGTTATCAATCCGAATCTTCTTAAGATTTTCTACTGTTGCTTCAATTAACTTCATCGCATCTAGGATGTTAAGCTCTTCTGCTTGGAGTTGCATCGTCAAAATCTTTGTTTTCTTCATAATTAATCTCATGAACATCAATACAAAAAGAAAGTCAAATGACTGACACTTTTTCTTTATGCCTTTACCCTTCACTTTTACCCTTCATTTCTGTGCTGTCGTCACTGACAACTTTGTCTATTGCTTTGGGTATGCTTTGTAAACTTCGCCACACTGCTTCTATCTACTCTGAAGAGTAGACCCATCTCGTTTTAGACATGTTGCGGAGTTTCAAGGAGTACTCATCAACTTCTTGAACTTCTTTATTGTAAATTTTGTTTCGTTTGGAGCTGGCATTGAAGAAAAAATATATATCTTGAAGATTATCGTACATCGACGTAATTATGGCACTTTGTTTTGCAAAATGCTCGTTGAAAGTATTAGATCGATGCCTTTGACATGGAATGTACGGGACTGGTCTTTCAAGAATATATTGTAGAACCCTTTGTGCCCCTGCAATTCTCCCAGACATATTATTTGCGAAATCGTATGTTTGGAAGCAGAGATAATTCACATTAATTTCATTTGCTTCCAGACACTTGAGAATACATTCTGCTGTCTTATCTCCATGTTTGTCATTGCACTCTTTCATTTCCACGACTCTCTCGCGCGCAATTCCTTTTTCACCAATATATCTTGCAGCCACAACCATTTGATCCGTATTGCTAACATCGGGTGTTGTATCGGCCGAAACCGACAACATTTTAGCACACTCAATCTCATCTTTTATTCTTTCTCTAACATTCTCCCCCAAGATCTCTAAAAGTTCATTTTGTGAACTAGAATCATGTATTTCGTACTGAAAGGCTTCAATCGTTTGCTATCAAGCCATTCTTTCATCTGTAGACAGTGCCTGGACAGAAGATTCACAAACTGGACAAAATTGCCGTTCTGGTCTCCTGCGGTGCCTCTGAAAGCAATTCATTGCCTTGCCAATGTTCTAGCAATATCAAACAAAATCTTCATTATCGATTTGCATTTTTCTTCGTCAGCCTTCTCCTGAATGATGATGTCTTTCAGATGCCTATTCATTCGAATGTCAATATGTCCTTGTTCGACTGAAAACCTAGCAAAATCAGCCAATGCTGTTTGGTGTGCTTCAGAAGAAAAATGCTGAGCAAGCTTGCCACTTTTCATTTTATGCCATGATGCGATACCGTTTATCCAAGCAGTGTCACTTTTTCTTTGCGAGGGGCACGGAAACAAGAAACTCACTTTACAATACCACAACAAATCGGAAAAACTAACATATGTTTTGGATTTGATAAGAAAGTAAAATGAATTAAGATATTTTGTGAAACTTGATTTCTGATCTCTTTTGCCCTGCCAGAACTACTAATTCCTTCTGCTTTGCCCTGCGAAATGCTGTTTTTCAGGATTGGGGGGGGGGGAGGTTGAAACCACCCCCCCAAACCCCCCCCCCCCCCCAATAGTTACGTCCCTGTCTGGGGCCTGGTTGTACAAGAAAAAACTAGAACAAGAGTGAGTTAAAAAAGATCAGGAATGATATGATGATAATTATGAGAAAGGCAACTTAGGTGGAGGTGATGAAGCTGGTTGTATCCTAGACAGAACGAATCTCTTGGTTTAGGCGAAGGCTGGTTTTTAGAGAGACATATCGACAATAAGCTTTGTGCACAGAAAGATCATCAAGATAGTTTAAAAAAGTATGTCAATTGGATTTTGATTAATTTTACATCTTTTAATTAAAATATACTGGTCTTCAACAAAGAACGATAGGCATCGCAGTTGCACGTAGGACCATCCCATTGAGTTATCAAGTATATGAAAGTATTATGCTCAGCCCCCTAAAAGTGATCTAAGTCGGGCAACATGCATCGTGCGTCGTTGTGACTTCCGGACAAGATCATTATATAAAACTTACATGATCATTATAATGAAATCTAAATGCTTGTTCTTGTATTTTTCCATCTATGCATGGATTTTGCTAAACAGTAATGCCAACTAAAGTACAGAAATTGAAATTTGAATAAACAAAGCTCTGAACAAGGACTCTTCTCTCTTTGAAGCCAATATAAGATCAAAGCCTTTTTAGAATATTAAGTTGAGTTGCATTTTAACAAAACTCTGGCTGCCTGAGTCCAAAACCCAAGACTCAATAGCCTTTCCTCGGATGCCATTTTTCGAAACTTGCCTTTTTTAATCAACAATGATTAATATAAACAGATTTTTTGTTTAGACATTAAAAAAGCAGGGCCTAGCACTGAGCCTTGTGGGACAAAAGATTATTTTCAATTATTTCCTAGTTTTGGAAAACCCCAAGATGGAGAATTTTTTACGTACTGCAACACAGCTAAAATAATGCCAGCCTAAACATGGGCATATTTAGCAATTACATTTGGCTTCGTTTAGCACGCGTAGCAATTTCGTTTATTACGCAGGTCCTTATGAAATCCCCCTTGTGTCTCGAATGTTCTATCGTCGCGACACAGCACCACGCTGCATTACGCAGCATTCCATTTTCCATTATTTTGCAGCAAATAAGAAACACCGCAATGCGACGAGAAGAACAACAACAAATACATGTAAATCAGTGAAGGCTATCGTGTGAATGCAGCGCAGCGGTGGAGAAGGGAAGGCTGGCGAATAAGGCCTGGCTCAAACGTTGCACTGCTCATGTGCCGAACCTAACTCTGCCGTACCAAATTGATTCAAACGTCGTACCACTCATGTACTTAATTCTCGAGTTAGGTTCGGCACATGAGAAGCGCGACGTTTGAACCGTGGGTGGTGATGGTGGAATAAGATGTAATGAGGATGAAGTGCCAAATACGAAATAATTACAATGACAAGGGTCTTAAAAGGAATAAAAATAAAAAATAGTAATGTTTAGGGGTAGAAGAAGTGACGATGTGGGTGATGGTGTGTTACTGTAAGGTTAACGGTCAGTGGTTCTGTTCATGCCGTTCGGTGTGAAGAGTGTTTGCGAAGCCAATGAGGTATTGCTCTTTGGCTAGTCGAACATTATTTTGTTCTATTCTTTTGTTTTAGGATTGCCCCTCATTAGGATTAAATCATGTTGTGTAGTCATTAGTTTATTTTAGGCATAATTTTATGCTCAGCTATGTTTTTCTGGTATTTTCTTTGTACATATAAATATACGTAGTTAGTTAGATTCAAGGAGATTCGGAGAGAAATTCAGAAGGTATCAGACATGTAAGGCTAAACACCAGAAGGTAGCTAACCGTTTCACCGAAGAGGCTTGTGAAAGCTCTTGCGGTCCAGTTTGCATTTAGGACAGGCAGTACGTGAGAAAGACTTTGCGTAACTCGTTGATAGATTTATCATATAATGTATGTGATTAGAGAGTTGGCGAGGAAGCGTCGTCGTTTATATTAGCCGCTCAGATTTATAGTTTAGCCTTGGATTGTTATATGATGAAAATGGAAGGAGAAGTCAAGCCCCTTGCATAAATCGTCATCTCTCCAAAGTTTCAGTCTTCGCAGCATCTCTCACAACTTTGAACGTCCATTTCACAATACCAACAACTTCATAGCACTAAAATTATCATGGTAAAATTTTGCGTTCTTATTTGATAAGAAATGATCTAAAAAGGTTTATTAAAATTAATTGCATAAGATTCCGAAGGTGTCTCGACACTTTTTGCGAGAAAGTTTTAAGTTGATTTTAATAAGCATGCAATCGATGTGGGCACCTTCAACCACTTGGTTAAATATAATCAATTAAGCATTAAGAGTACCATCTTACACCTATTTCCTTACGTCTTTTGTGTGGTGTATATTCATTGCGAGAAGTCATGGTACCCTAGCGTCAGTTTTCAAGAGCGAATTCTGCTACCCCTTCTCCCTTTACTATAAAACGAGGTAGGATATAAGGAAGTACGTTGTATTATGTTTGTTTGAACTATCAACATTGTCTTGCAGAGAAGAGGGTGTGGAAGTGGGATTATTTCAGGAAAGCCCATATCGCTTGGTGTTCCAAGTAGCTTTGGCAATGATTGTAGCTATAAATGTTCTTACTAAGACGCCAAAGAGCTCTGGCGTTAAACCATGGATCGCATCAAGCAAAAGTGACAATGGAAATCAATAGCACGATCAATCCTATCTATGTGATTTTTGTTTCTAAGCACGAAAATTGCGCGATTCCCAATCAGCTTAAATTTTTCCTAATCCTTTCGCTCGCTTTTTCCCCTTTGCATCAAATGATGCGCCCAAAGAATTGACGAAATGCGAACAAAGGGTTATACACCCTTTTTATCATATGATAAAAATGTTGCAAAAAGACCTTAAAGGTGGTCCTAAGAGCAAGCTGGGGCCGTGCACGACAATGAAGATTGATCTTATAGATTCCCCTGCAGGGCCTCCGACGAAGTGGGGGCCGGGGGGCCATGGCCCCTTCACTTTTTTGGCAAAACAATAGAGCTTTTTTAAAACCTTTTGTTATGATTGTTATATTTTCTCTTGGCCCCTCCACTTTCCATACTGCATCGGAGCCCATGCCCTATATGGTCTTTATGAGGTAATGAGTGCGATGAAAACTTTCCAGTCGAGGGGGACTCAGGGTTAAATTTTGCTTGGCATTTTACTTTAAACGTTAGCACTGACATGATCGTGACTCGACTTCATGCCAAAAACAACCAAATAGTCATCCAAAATCCATAATCTCTTTATAATACGTATTAGGAAATGATTATTTTTTCTTAAGCCACGATAAAGTCCATTTAAAGGATAAGAGTTTTCTCAGCATGTACAAATCCAGGTTGCTCCATTCTGTGAATAAATTTTTCACCGTATTTCTTAAAGAGTTAGTTCGGAATAAACAACTGTGGCTGACATGGACTGGGTTGATCACTACCTCGCGTATGATTCTCCACAAATGATTACAGTTAAGGATCACAAAAAGGACGAGCCGATATCACTGCTGCGTAGTATCGTTATAGAACTAGAGAAAACAAATCAGTACCTTAAAAACGTTGTGTTGAACACAAAACAGAGCTCTGGTAAAACGTTCCATCGCGAGGATCGAGTAGAGAGTGTCTCTGTTTTTATAAGTATCAGCGTGCTTAGTATAGGTGATATTGATGCTATCAAACAGGACTTCCAATGCGAATTTTACATGCAGGTCAGGTGGACAGAGCCACTGTTGTTTGGAAGGAGCAATTCAGACGACGTCGACTGGGAAGACGTCTGGGATCCAAATATCCATCTGATTCATGCTGTTGGATTTGATGTTCTCGAGAAAAGCAACCGACTCATACCTTCGCTGGATTCCAAAACTCCTCCTGACATTATCCAGTACTTTCACATCAAAGGAACCTTCAAAGAGGTAAGAAGATTTATCTCATATGGAAATCAGTGTTGATGAAGCAGAGGGGCAAGTGCCCCTTTTCCTAGCATAATCCTGTCGGAACTTGCTGTGTTTTGCAGGATGACTTACAAATTATGTTTGTGTTTTCTTTTCACGAGGTTCCATTTACAATTGATCGTAGAAAAAATCACGGTGTCTTTCCACCACTGAAAACTTCGGTCGTAAAATTAAAGATTGCTAGCCTTATCTGGACACACATTGCCTTCCTCAAACCTTAACAAACCATTTTGAGTAGATACACCCCCTTTTTGGAATGGTAGCTATGTTTCCCCCCTCTACGAAAAAACCTAGCCATAGCATCGACCGAGGGCTTTGTACCCTGGGTACCAGAGCGACATAATTTCGAGCAAGGGATTAGAAGATAAGAACGGAGCAATGAGCGGAGAAGCCACGGAGCTCCTATTTCCATGCTTAAGTATATGTGGCTCTGATACCCAGGGTAGGGGTAAGGGTGCTCTGGCTAGCAGTGGTGGAAATTAGTATCGACTGAGGCGGATGAGGCGGAAATGAAAGCCCCCGAAATTAAAGCCTGAATTTCCGCCACTGTTGGGTAGCCCTGGAATATTGCCTTTGTGATTTAGCCTTGCTGTCACTAATAATGAACTGATAAAGCAGAAATTTTTGGAAACTAAACAGGAGAGATGGACTATGATCTCACGATCGACAAATTACGAAAAACACTTGGATTTTCATACAGAAAATTACACTATCTGATAGAAAACCTGCTAGTTGTGGCATGGGCGTAGCAGATGCTAAACGTTTAAAGGGGGTGGGATTTTGTGTGGACCTTTTCTGGATGTTATTGTTGTATTGAGATAAGCCTGCCCGAATGGAGTGTGAAATGCGATCATTTTTGGCTGATTAGGTGGGGATGCAGCCCTTCTATCCCATAAATCTCCTACGCCTATGGATCTCAGTTTTATTCTTCAATCGTATACCTGACAAAATTAAAGGTTGGCGTCTTTGGTGGAAGCACATCTAGGTGGAAGTACATTTTGGTACAGGGCATAAAGACGACCATGTCATAGAATATTTTTTGGTATCGTATTGTATTATATAAAGTATTTAACGTTAGTTTTTACAATGACAGGCGTATACTAACGCAATATCATGCTTTTTCTTGCTATAACTATGTTTCTAGTTATACTTGGTCGTGTATTTTACAGAAATCAAGAACATCTTGAGTTTTCTCCGACACATATTGCTTGTGCAAAAGTTTGAAAGACATTAAGAAATCGTAAAATTCAGTATTCTGCTGCCTTGTAAAGAAAACACAAGGCTTTATATTTAGCATGCAAACTAAATCTCTATGACAATTCCTTCGGATGCGTAGCTCCTTTGGGTGACAATTCAAAAATTATTCCCAACAAAAGATGCATTAAGCTTTTAAGATGTCTATTTAAGATAAAAATTTTAAGATTGCGTAATTTTCTGGTAAAAACGAGGCTTTTTGCCCCCCTTAACAGACCATAATTCAATTTTAAGCATTTATAGGCAAGAAATATGCTAAATTAACTTTAAGACTTTAACTTATTTTCAAACTGTTTTTTCATTGATTACTTTCATATACACAAAAACGAGGCTTCAAACACAAGAAAGAGGCCGATGTCCCCCAAAATCCCCGTATAACATCGATTTTCGAAATCAGCACCCTTGAATTGATCAAAGTACTTGGTATCGTAAATTTCGCTCTCGGGTGACCATTCCCCTGTTCTCCGCCTGGTTCATTAGTACCGGGGTGCGCAAAAACTGGAAATGTTCCCCTTTTTCTGAGAGCTCCCATTCTTACCTGTGTTCCAGCAATTTTGAAATGCTTTCGACGTTCAAAAAAGATATTTTATAGTGATTTGTATTGGCTAGCAACGGTACACGTAAAAATGTGGATTTTTTCCAAGTTCGGGGTTTTCTCTAGAGCACAGGCTAGGTTTGCAGGGAAAATCTTAGAATTCAAGTCCATAAAAATGACTCCCGAAGAAGTGACTCCAAGAAAGTTTGAAATTTTCTTCCGCAAAAGGCTTAAAGGTTAAAATAATGTAATGCCATCGCTCTGTGTTGAAACTGAGGGCTAACACGACCGTTGTCTTGACAACATATGTTTATTAATAGTTCTGGTCACCATTCGAAACACATGATTGCCAAACAATGCAACAGGAAATTCATAGTAGCTGAAAAATCGGCCTAGGCTTTTTGACGGGGAAGAGAAAAGGACATGGCCTCTTCATCGCAGCTGATAGCTGTGATGGAAAGTGAAGAAAATACGGATAACCATACAGATATTAAAAGTAAAGAAGACAGTGAAACAAACAGTCTTCTGCGGGATTTGATCAAAGAACTCCAGACAACGAATCAATACCTTAAAAATGTCGACTCGAACACGAAAGAAAGTGTAAAAGAGATGGTCTGGTATGAAAAGAGACCAGAAATTGTCGATGTATTCATCCGTGTGAGTTTTGTCAGTGTTGGAGATATAGATGCAGTGAAACAAGAATTCCAGTGCGAGTTTTACATGCAGATAAGATGGACCGAGCCTCACCTTGTTGGCAAAACAAATTCAAATGAAATTGATTGGGAACATTTATGGGACCCCAATATTTACATCAATGATGTAGTCAGCTTTGATGTTCACGAGCGGAGCCAGCGACTAGTGCCCGCTGATACTTATGGAATGCCTCCTGATGTTGTCCAGTACCTTCATATAAAAGGAACTTTCAAAGAGGTTGAAATAAATCAGACTTTCCTTATCGTTTATTCGTTCTTGATTATTTTCTGTGGAGCTGCAACCAGGGGCGCCTGCACAAGATTACGGCAGGAGGGGCAGTGTTGGTGCTGAGGGCAAAAAGTAGCATTTTTTCACTACCATAATCAAGTTCTTGTGAGGGCGGGTGGTGGAAATTAACATATTTGCATGCATCTAGCTGTGCCACCCATACAATTGGGTTTTTTGCAATCAAAGGCTCTACGCATAGGCATAGTGTTGAGGAAATTATCCATGGAATTGGGTATTAAATGGCCTTATTATTATTCGAAATGTTTGGTTTTACAAAAGTCGTGGCAATTATAAATAGGCTAGTTCTAAAACTTTGATTGCCTGCTTAGTCTCAATTTTCTCTATGATTGCAGAATCATTGAGAATGTAAAAAGAAAAAAATAGTAATCACAACATATTCAAGGGCGCTGTTTGCCCCCTTTGCCCCTCCTAGAAGAGGGCAGGAGGGGCAGCTGTCCCTGCAGGCCCTCCAGGGTAGGCGCTCCTGGCTGCAACAGGCACACAGGAGCCAATAATGTTAGAAAAACTACCATTAAAGTTTGTGAACATATTGGTATTACCAAGGGAGCTGAGCTGCCTTGTTAATACCAATATGTTATCAGGGGCATGAGAACCAGGGGGTGCAATTGTGGCACATGATCCTAGCTTTTTTAGAAAGGCTCTTATCTATGTAGTAATCTGAACCTCTTTGGATTGTTGCCCTTTTTCATGGTATATGGAGGTCAAAATTATCACATAATGTTTTCTAAAGGTCTGGCTTTAGTTTAAGCTCAATTTGCAACTTAAAACCATTTTTTCTATATAGCCAAGCTATGTGGTTCTGCGTGTTTTAGTCAAGTCATTTCAACCAGAATTGTGACTGTAAGACTTCAATGAAATACTTTTTCCATATTATATCATTCATTTCTCTCATTTTGTAGGTGCTTGAAGTTAATGAATTCCCTTATGACTATCAAGATCTCACCCTTGTGTTAACATCAAACTGGGCTGTGGACCAGATCAATCTCCTTAAAGACCCACACAAAAATGACAATATAAGAACATGGAATTTTACAGCAAGGCAAGAGTGGGACCTTCAGCAGCATGTACTTGTAGAAAGCACTGAAAACATTCCAGAAGAAGGTTCATCTCCAAATATTTTTCCACTGTACAAAGTGCAACTTCATGTAATGCGCCAATATGGTTTCTACCTCTACAACGTTGCCCTAATTATGTGCCTCATCACTGCCCTTACATTCAGTTCATTTGCAGTGAAGGTGGATTCAATTGGTGACAGAATACAAATTACCCTCACTCTTCTCCTAACTTCAGTTGCCTTCAAGTACTATGTTCAGCAATTTGTTCCAACTGTCTCATACTTAACCTTGATGGATAAGTATATTCTTTCGTGCATGATCTTTCAATTTGCAATGGCTGCAATTCATAACTCTGTGGCAGGACTGATAACTAATGCAAAGGCTTTGATATACTTTGAATGGAGCTGTTTTGGACTGGCTTTGACTGTATTTATTGTGATACATATAGTTTTTGCCATCATTTCTCTCAAATATGTGGTGAAAAATAAGAAAAGAATGAGAGCTGACAAAGAGCGATATCGGGCAACCAATCCACCACAGGAAAAAATATCCAATAGTCTAAAAAAACCAATGACAATATCGGACATAACCTAATTCACAGAAATCTGCCAATGTTTGAATCAGCATAGCAGGGATGTAAAGAGTATGAAAAGGAATCTACAAAGATGATATCTACTGCAAATCAGAAGCTTAGTTTTAATCTCTTTACCATGTCAAATTACATTATGATACTTATTTATACAATTTAATTTTCACTTATTTAATGAAAATATTCAGTGTAAAAGCCCAATTGAGCCCCTCTCACTATTAAGCCCCCTCTCTATCAAGCCCCTTTATCAAGCAAAAACTATAAAGCCCCTTTCTATTGATCCCCCCTTTAACATTTGATGTCAAACAAAGAAAACATGCACATTTAGTGGGTCTCTTGACAGGTGTGATAATGTTAAGACCATGAGCATTAAATAGCCCATACTTGTGCACCTTGGAAGTCAGTCAAAGTTTGTTTCAAAGATGTCCAAGATTTATCAATTTATCCCGGATGCTTATGAAAATGAGAACGTTTTATCTATTTTATTTCCAGATTTTTAAATTGAGAAATTTGTTATTTTTTGCTTTTTCCTAAAAATATTTTCTGCATTTAAAGGGTCACAACAAAGGCTTCTAATACTATAAATTTCCAGCACTGGTGCTCATTCACTAAGTCTCCATTCAGTTGGCCCCTGTGCAAAGTGCAACAGCCAATTTTCTGGAATGTGAAGTTGAAGCTATTATTCACAAATGCATCTTGCAGATTGAGCGTCAAACTATAACTGAATTGGCCTTGTGTATAATTGCTGGGAGAAGTGTTTGGGGGGTTTGTTTACTTTTGTTTAAAAAAGTTTATATCAGAAACATGCATGCACCAAGGTTTTTTAATATAAACTTCGCTTTTTAAAAGAGTTATCATTTGATAACTTCAGCTTATGTATTTATTCTTATATATGTATGTTTAATTCCCTACATTTATTGTATTTGCAAATTGTACAAATTGAAAAGAGTAAAAACATATCTGTATCATATCTTCGAGCTTACTCTTTTAATGTTTCATAATTTATTCTCTATTTTCATCAAATCTGAGCCTTATTCAATTTATGATATTTTGCTTTAGACAAAAACATATTTGGCAAGTTATCTCGTGCCCATAGCCTATTCAAAGCAAGGACCTCGATATTGGGTTGATGCCCCCCCCCTCGATATTGGGGGATGGGGGCCCCCTCAAAAAACTTTAATAGTATAATAAAATTACTTTTGTTTTGTAAAAAGGGCTGTTTTTCACGTATTTGCCGGGGCTGGCCCCTCCCCAAACAACAAGTTGTACCTAGGTCTTTGATTCAAAGGGAAATAAGCTGCGGGGGCAAACCTTTGTTTATATAAAGAGAAGGACAATAGGCTTTTGCTTGAAACAATTGAATGTCCCTGGAGCTGCAGGCAGGGGCAATTACCCCTTAGTTAGTATCAGGGACGAAAACAAGTTGCTAATTTTGGGGGGGGCGTGGAAGTATGAAAATTCCAACTTTAAGTGATAAATTTTTCATTCGACCAGTAGATCTGTTGTACCTACCAAATTGATATTTGTAAATAGCCAGAACACCATAGTTCTATTTTCTTTATAATTACCAAATCTTTACTCAATAATTAGCCTAAAGCATAAAAGCCTAAATCTCTAAATTTTGATTAACATGAAACAAACATTAAACATACTGTAAGAAGTAAAGCAACATTTAAGCAAAACCAGTATTAGATATACTTAATGATTAGTAGTATTCTTTCAGATCAATTGATCAATTTTATCTAAAATACATTTTTTCACGATATAGAAGCACCAAGAATTTGGGCCTTTAAACTTTTCAGAGGGCCAAATGCCTTTTCATTCTTTACAATTGAAATGATGATTTGAGAACAAACTTGTGCATATGCCTGATTCGAAAGATGAAATACTCTTCTTTGATCAAATACTTCTACTGCAGTTTTTGCAATGTGTTCTTGCTCCACAGCAGTTTTGTCATAGGAATTTATGATAAGGACTCAAGGACATTAACAAATAACAGGGGAGTTTAGCATAAACTCGTTTTTTATAAGAAGCGTTGAGAATTTTTAGTACTGAAAGATTCTTAATCTTTTATTGAATTAACTACTCGTAGTTTCTAAAAAAATTCCCACTCTAATATTTTCTGATCAATGCGGGTAATATTATTCAAAACTGTAAGTTTCAGGTTTCTTATCCGTAAGTTCACCTTGCCTGTTCGTAATTTGATTCAACTCCCGTCAGAAAGAAAGAAAAAGAAAACGGGGCAAGTGTGCAATTTGGACCCAGCGGAGACGGGATTCACAATAGAAAACGATTGGATGGGTCAGCTTCAGCCTGTGAATTTTAATGTTTAGAATTTTTATAAATTAAAATAAAAAAACTTCTTAAAATATAAAATTCACAAGTTTGGTCTTAAGAAAAAAATTCCAAGTCAACCGTTACGTTTTCCAACTGTAACTGGATTTTCCAAACTTTGGGGGGGCGTTACGCCCCCCACGCCCCCCTATTATTTACGTGCCTGGTTAGTATGTTTAAAAAAGACCCTGCTGGCGCCACATAATTCTCTTGTTTAGTGCGAGTAACCGGTTTGCGTGCTTTGCACTTGATAATAAATTCCTACTTATCATCGACTAATTTAGATACATGCTATATGCTCTGTGTAATTAGAAGATTAGAGAAAAGTAGCACAAAGTACTGTTATACTGTAACCACATTTAGATTCTTACATAAGCATGGTGAGACTATTGCTGATTTTCGTAATTTTGAAATGACTCGTGGCTAATTTTAATTAAGTCCCAAGTGATATATAGCTAAGTTATATAGGAAAAGCACATTATCACAACCCAATACCGAACAATAAACAGGGCTGTAAAATTGGCTCAAAATCAGCATATATTAACTGGTGTTCCACAAGGGTCAGTTCTAGGACTTTTGTTATTCGTCGTTTTATGAATCACTGCTTAAAGTTTCATTTTCAGCCTAATTTGTGATACGGAAAAAACTTAAGCGACCAAGTCATTAACAATATAGCGGCAATCTTGAAATCACTAGATCTGAGCAAATTTTCAGATTAGCCTAATCAAACCATTAAAACTTCTTAGAGTTAAGATTGAGTTTTGTAAAAACACACACGTCCATGTAATTTGTGATCAAGTTAGAGAAAAATCTACACTTCTCTCGCATAAGACCGTTTTTTGCTCCAAGGAAGGCAAAAACACTCTTCCGTTACCTCAAATCGTTCCTATGGCCGGCCCTCTTAAAAAGTTTTTGCAATCACGCCACTTAAAATACATTTCGTCGTCACATTTAGCTGGTATCTCAAATCTACAAACTGTCCTTCATTCAACTGTACATTTTGGCGGTCTGAAGACGATGAAGCCCCTATAAATGGTGGAGAGGATTCAATTGAGGATTTGCAAAGAAGCAAAAATAATTCTATCATGCTCATTTAGGGGCAATATGTTATCGGCTAATTCCTCTGTATGCGTCAATTCATCTTCTGTTTCTTTCTCAGCGATTTGAAGACAGCAAGACTTATTGAAAATTTAGTATTCGTCATATTCTTTTCTGAAGACTTTCCTTATTCCCTTGCAAAATTTATGTGTTGATGTTCAGCAATTTCCTTGACATTTCTTTCCGATTTTCATGGCTTATAAATGTTTCTTATTGAAGCTTACCTAAAAATACGTGGCAATCGATTCACAGCTCAACTGGCGAAAAGCAAACAACTAGGTCTCATAAGGTATTTAGCACATCAAGTTATATCATAAAATATGTTTAATAGGTACTTAGGTAGTTGATTTCTTTGTTTCGTAGACTGGACATATACTCTATCTAACTAAGTACGTCAGATTTCGCCAGAAAACAAAGTTTTAGTTGTACAGCTTGCGTAGTCATAAAGTTTTAGTGCGATAGCCAACAGTGGACTAGGTATAAGTACCTCAGTCCAAATAAAGCCTTTGGTGAACTTTAAGCATTTCAGATTACGCCAGGAAACAAAATTTCAGTCGTAAAACTTGTATAGTTATTAAGTTACGGTGCAAGACCCAATATAGGACTGGGTACAAGTACAGTAGTCTAAAAATTGCTTTTGTGTAATTTTTAAAGCTGTTTTTGCGTCTCATTGTATTCAGCACGTCAAATAACGCCAGAAAAAAGGTTCAGTTTTATAACTTGCAAAGTTAAAACTTTGTAGTGCTATACCTAAAAGAGGACTGGGTACGACGACGTAAGAGGACCGGGGGGTGGGGGGGGGGGGGAGTGCGACGTGTCATGTCATGTCATAAAATCAATATGATTTAATATGATTTTCCTTGATATTAATAAAGGTAAATAAACTAATGATTTGAAGATTGCTTGTTGGCAATAAATCTAGAAATCCAGACCCTTTTTAGGTAAAATTGTGCCTTGTGTCCATTTCTCCTAAAGTTTCTCAGTAGAAGCGTCAACTGCAATTCACTATGAGCTCCAGATTTTTCTTAACATTCAAAAGGCATGCTAAGATGGAGAGAGAGATCTAAATTTAGAAGTAACTGACAACCTTGTATTTTTCAAGACCATGGCAAAATTGTTGTTTTTATCTGCTGTAATTTTTTTGCAAAAAAACAATAGTTTTCAATAGGATTAGGAGGATTGCTTTAGTGAAATTTACTTAAAAGAGTGCATTTTTCAGGGAACTAGAAGCATCAAAATTCGAAAATTTGCTCAGGTAGTAACTATATCCTTTGCCCGTTCCGAAATAGAGATTTGACAAGACTATTAGGAAAGTCCGTTATTATCATACAGAGTTAGATTGAAAAAATGCATTGCAGAGGTTGGTGGCAGCAGCTAAACAATTTCAGGCAATAATTAATCAGGTAAATTTGTAGTCCACACCCCCCCCCCCCAAACGAGGCTCGCCTCGCGACGGCCCTGGTCACAACTTTTTGCTTATAGGTCAGGTCACATTGCGCTTTTTATATCTTTTGCTCAGTTTTGCAAGCACTTTCCGATAGTATCATCAAATTTGAAAAATTCGAAATTGGAAATTTGCTGTCCGTGCATTTTTCATGCTTGCGGAAACGCAATTTCCGGTCATTTTCCAGAATGTTCCCAAGGCTTAAAATGATCAATGGCCTCTACTCTTTTGATTTAAAAAAGGTAGGTTCCTAGGTGGTTATTATGATTTAAACTTTAAAAACTTAGGTTTGGTAGGTTGCTAAATGGTTATGCAAAATTCCCTGTCTAGAAAGTTAAAACAGTTTCAGGCAGACTTGAAAGAGAAAGCAGAACATTTAAAGGAAATTGACAGCACTACTTTGGACGGATTAATCGATGTTGACGCGGACGACGATAACTGCGAGAATGAAGCAGCCGAAGCGAACGAAATTCAAGAAATAATCAGATTTAATCTTATTTGCCTGGAAGAAGCTTTGGAAAGTGTTGGAACGACGAGGAGTACTTCGCAGGAGAGTGTAGCAGAGAGTTTGAAATCAAGTTCGTCGATTTCTTAGTCGTATCGAAGTTTTCCCACAGCGATTAGGGTAAAACTCCCGAAACTGGAAATTAGGACATTTGACGGGAAATTACAAGAGTGGAATGAGTTTTAGGACTCATTCAATAGCGCAGTCCACACTGATCCCGGTCTTGCAAAAGAGGATAAATTTAAATATTTACGCCCATTTTTGGAAGAACCTGTTCGACGTATCATTTCGGGCATGGCGTTAACAGATGATATATATTATTCTGCAGTTGAAATATTGATGAGTAGATATGCTACAGTTATCAAAGAATGGAAATTACGTAATTCGTTTTCTTTGCGTGAATATCTCATCTTGTATCACATGAAGTGAGAATGTGGGCATTCCTCAAAACATAGTAGAGGTCCCGAAGTAGTTACTCCAAAATATTTTAAAAATTTTTTCCGCAAAGCCTAAAAAGGTGAAATACAATGTAACGCTATAGAAATGGGCTATCGACACTATGTCGAAACTGAGCGG